CCAGAGGCTGTCAGTGGGATCCCAATGGACACAGGAAGTGAGGAAGAGCCCTCAGACCACCCAGATGGGGAGAGCTCCTTGAGCTGGGGGGAGCAGCGGCTCTCACTGACTACTCCCCAGCCTGAGGAGTCCATGGAGCATGGGCAGGAATTTCCTCTTCTGGAGGTGAGTGGAAGTGGGGACATTCCAGTCACCCTGTATGGCCTGGGACACAGCATATGTCTGTGGATGGGGCTCTCAGACCCTGCTGCCCCCAGGGACAGCCATGGATTGAGGGCCCCCAGCACTGCTGTGGGGGCTGTGGGTGTGCTGGCTGGGGTGGGGGGTCCCTGGGCTCCCTGTGCCAGCTGTGACCTGTCCCCTGGGCTCGGCAGGACACGGAGCTCCTGGACAGCAGCGTGTTCCGCTGCAAGGCCAGCCTGGGCCGCAAGCGCCAGCACCGGGCGCCGTCCCTGCGCCCCACCACCAGTGAGGGGGAGAGCTGGATCTTCCGGGACTCCACAGGTGAGCCCAGCGGGGATGGGGGTGGGAGCAGGGTGTCTGTCCTGGCACAGTGTCGTGGTGACACTGTCCCTGTGTCCCCACAGAGCCCCGGCCAGCCCCAGCAGTGTCCTCCGACGAGGAGGCAGCGGAGGAGCCCCGGAGCCGGCGGATACGCGGCTCATCCTCGGGCAGGGGGGTTAAGGTGCCGCTCTTTCCTGGCCTCAGTGCCTCTGCCATCAAGGTGAGTCCCTTGGACTCGTGGCTGCAGGGTGGAACACAGGGAGACTAAGGCAGGGTGGGGCTGGGGCCTGGCTAAAGACAGGGAGAAGGCAGTGGGGGGATTTGGGGGACAGAGCATTGTGTTTCTCCCTGACCTCTCTCTCTGCCCCCAGGCCAAGCTGAGGGGTCGCAACCGCTCGGCCGAGGAGGGGGCATCATCAGGGGACAGCAAGGGGACCCCTCCTAAAGACCCCCATGTGCAGCGCTCCAAGTCCTGCAAGATCCCTGGTGTGAGTGGGAAACCCCCAGCCCTGCCCCCCAAGCCAGAGAAATCCTCAGGGTGAGTGTGGGGCCAGGATCCTCCTCATGGAGGCAAAAGGGGAAAGGGGGGGCTGAGGGGTCAGTCTGGGTCCCAGGACTGGTTTTGGGGGGCTCATGCTGAAACTCAGCCAATTCCCTAGATCCGAGGCCTCTCCCCCACACTGGCTGCAGGCCCTGAAGCTGAAAAGGAAGAAGCCTTGAGCAGGGTGAGTGTGGGATTTCATGCAGTGCTGGGGACAGCCCCCAGCTCAGGCTTCCCCATATCTGCACTGCTGGGAGTTGCTCCCTCCTTCCTCTCTGCTCTGCCTGGGTCCCCCCGGGCTGGGTCATCTCTGGGGGGGCTCTGCAGGGTCCTCACTCCTTCCCCCTGTGTCACTTCCAGGCTCACTCCGACGCTGAAGCCCGCTGTCCCTGGACCAGGGCTGTCCCCTCCCGTGGGGACACACACACACACACACACAACACACACTCACCTATGCACTTTGTACGAGCTTGCAGGGTCCCTGTCTCCCCAGCACCTCCTCCCCAACCCCCCATTGTACCCCATCCCCTTGGTCCCCCAGGGCCTGGGGGTGGGCACAAGCCCCCCCTTCCCCTCCGCCCTGCTCGTGTATGGCCCCGGACACAGGGCAACGGGTCCAGCTCGTGGTGCCACTGCCACAGACAATAAAACCTCGCTGGTCAGTTCAGAGAGTCCTGACTCTTCTCCTGGGCCGTGGGCAGGGATCACGGAGATCCTTGAAGAGGGGACCCTGCCACTGCCATTGCCCACACAGGAGCTGTGCAGGAAAGGAGGGACACCTCCAAAATCCCTCTGTGCCCGCCCTGGGTGCACCCAGCCTGGCCCTGCCCAAACACCAAGTGCGTGCTGACGGCAAGACTTTATTGTACTCTGAGGGAAGGGGGAGCAGCAGTAGGGGAGGACTCGGGGGGGCTGAGCCCCTCATATCTCACAGATGAAGGGCAGCTGCCTCTTGCAGCGCACGCTCCTCCAGAGCCCATCTGGGGAGAGAAGAGGGGGGATCAGCCCATGGCCTGCCCACCACACCCCCACCCCCAGGGACCCCTGCAGCCCCAGATACCTTATACCAGCCCCCCAGTGTCACCTCCCCATCCCGAGCCTCCCAGCGCCCCCCTGCCCCCCGGAGCCCCCACTGACTGTTGGTGCAGAGGGCGGTGCAGAAGCGGCGGCCGGGCAGGGGGTGCCCCCGCACCCACCGGCTGTAGTTCCAGGGGCTCCGGTCAGTCCAGTGGCAGTTCGGGTATGGCACCTGCCAGGAGAGAAGGGGTGTGGGGACCGCCAGCACTGGGGGACAGTGGGGTGGGAATGGGACATGCAGGGTGGGCATTAGGGACACTGGGACAAGGCTGGAGCAGCCAGGTGGGCACTGGGGTGGATCTGTGGCTCTGTTGGTGGGCACGGAGAGCACTGTGAATGGGATCGGGGAACCCAGGTTGTGCACTGGGAATCGTGGCACGGGGCTGGGACACCCGGGGTGGGCACTGGGGACACTGGGAGGAGACAGGGTGCCCCGAGGGCAGGGTGGGGGGCGCGAGGCGGGGTCCTTACGGCGGGCTGGCTGACGGCACCGATCCAGACCAGGCCGGCATTGGTGTGCCGGCGCGCCAGGAGCAGCAGGAAGGTGTTGGTGTGGGAATCGTGGATCGAGGCCAGGCGCCCGCGGAAGCGCCGGGCACAGATGCGCTGCAGGGACACGGCTGTCACAGGGGGCACAGATGCCCCCAGGCCGAGCCCCCTCCCAACCCACCCTACCCCATCCCACCTGGGCATGGCGGAAGCTCCGGCAGCGGGGGAAGATGACGTAGCGGCAGGTGGCGGTGCCCGGCATGCTGGGGACACCGAGTGCCTGCTTGTCACTGCCCCCCCGGCACCCGCTGAACTCCTCGGGCATCTCCAGCTCCGTCATGTCCTCCTCATCCTCCACCACAGGGCTGGCAAGAGCTGGGGACACTGGCTGGGTCACCGTGGGATCAGGGGTGTCCCCAGGAGCAGGTGGGGGTGTGGGGGACACTCACCGGAGCGGCTGACAGGAACTGTGCCCAGCAGGGCCAGAGCAATCAGCAGGCAGGGCCGCATGGCACAGGGACACTGGGGACACCACTAGCACCCTTGGGAGATCCCAGAGTGCCATCACTCTCAGCCACCCTGGGAACATCCCCATGCCACCCCCAGCGTCACCCTGTCCTCCCCATGTCCCCTCAGAAACCCCCCATATCCCCACTGTCCCTCTGCCATCCCCAGTGCCACCCCATGCCCCATCCCATCTGCCACCCCCAGTGCCACCCTCAGAGACCCCAGCCCTCCTGTGTCCACCATCTGCCCAGTTCCTCACTTCCCACCCTTGGGTCAGTCCCTCCCCTGGCCATCCTGTGCCATTCTGTCCCCCACCATGCCCCCTCCAGCCCTGGGCCCCCCAGCGACAGACTGAGGAACCCCCCAGCCCTGGCAGCTGAGGGCTGAGCCCACCTCTGTGTTCCTCTCTCCGCTCCTCACCTGGGTCTTGGGGGGCTGTGCCCACTGCCACCCTTATATTGGTGACAGGGACACGTGCCCCCAACCACAGCCTTGTGACATCCCCAACCACCAACTGTTGGGGACATGGTGGGGGACACCCCAGGAGGGCTCTGCCAATGCCCTGCCCAGCCAGTGCCACAGCCTGGGGTGGGCTTGGTCCAGGGGGGACGCTGTGGGGTTTGGGGTGCAGGGTGTGGGGAGGGGGCTGTGGGAATTTGGGGTGCAGGGTGTGGGGAGGGGGCTGTGGGCGTTTGGGGTGCAGGTTGGTAGTACAGGGGCTCAGGGAGGTTGGAGTATAGTGGCAGGAGGGGTTGGGGTGCAGGGGTGCACAAGGTGTGGGGAGGGGGCTGTGAGAGTTTGGGGTGCAGGTTGACAGTGCAGGGGCTCAGGGAGCTTGGGGTGCAGGGGCTGGAGGCATTGGGGTGCAGGGGTGCACAGGGCATGGAGATAAGGATTGGGGGGGCTGTGGGTGCTCAGCTGCAGGTCGGGGGGCTGCTCAGGGCGATGGGAGATTTAGGGGGGCTCAGTGGGGTCTGTGGGCAAACGGCCAGGCCGGAGCAGGGGGCCGCGGCCGTTGGAAAGGAAATGGCCCTTGGGCAAGCGTGGCCGGCGGGAGATGCTATCAGCACCCCAACATCCCCTCTGCACCCCCAGCACCCCCAGCCCAGCCCGTGCTGCACCCCAAACGCCCGCCTTGCACCCCTCAAACTGGAGCAGCCCCCACCCCTGCACCCACCCTCTGCCTTGGCACCCCCCAACCTGCAGCCCCCCCTCCCTGGGGGCCAAGGACTCCCTCCCCCCGCAGTGTCACCCCAATGTCCCCATGGTATCCCCAGGGCCAGGCTGGGTGGCGCAAGGCTGTGGTGGTGACGTGTGGGTTTGTCCCCCCTATAAAGGGGACAACGGGCAGGGCCCCCCAGACCCCAGGTGAGGAGCAGGGATGGGGACAGGGACATGGAGGAGGACATGGGAGTGGGCTCAGCCCCTGGCTGCTGGGGAGGGGACCAGGGGTGGGCATCCCTGAGGCTGGGACAAGGGTGTTGGGGGACACGGGGGTCGTGGGAGGGGCACAGGGGATGATGGGGCACAGAGGGGCAGGATGGGGTGAGGGACACAAGGTGGAACTGAGGGTGGCAGTAGGACAGTGGGGACATGGGGGATGGCAGAAGGGCCACAGAGAGAACAGATTGTTACCAAGGGTGGCAGAGGGGCTCTGGACTGTGGTGCAGGGTGACAGGGTGACAGGGCTGTGGCATCTCCAGAGGGCGCTGGTGCTGTCCCCAGCGTCCCTGCGCGTCCCACTGCCATGTGGCCGTGCCTGCTGCTCGCTCTCGCCCTGCTGGGCACTGTCCCTGCCAGCCACCATGGTGAGTGTCCCCCACACCCCTGCCCGCTCCCAGGGACACCTGGGGACACCCTCAGTCCCTGCCACCCCAGCGCCATGCCCACACCGCCGGTGCCACACGCCTGGGGATGGCAGTGGGTGGCAGAGGGACCCCCCAGCACCGACCCTCCCCCAGCTGTGCCCGCAGCCCCCCGGCAGCCCCAGGGGGTCCCCGCTGGTGACACCACCCAGCAGTACTACGCCGTGGTGAAGAAGCTGCGCACCTACTCGGGCGCCCAGGTGAGGGGACGTGGGCACAGGGAGTGCTCCGGGATGCCAGGCCGCGCCCGTGCCACGGCAGCACGGCCGGGAGGTGCCCGTGGGCACAGGCGAGTGCCTGGTGCCAGCCCGTGCCCGTCCCACAGCGCTACTGCCAGGACGTGTACCGCGGCCGGCTGGCCTCCGTGCACAGCGCTGCCCGCAACCAGGAGCTGCAGAAACTGGCACAAAGCTACCACATCGTCATCTCACCCTGGATTGGAGCTGTCACCAGCCGCAGGGTGAGGGCACTCTGGGGACAAGGGGCTGCCAAGGGGTGCTGGGAGCTGCTTTGGGGGGTGAGGGGCTGGGGCTGCTTTGTGTGGGACGAGCCTGGGGCTGGAGGCTGGGTTTTGAGGCGTGAGGGGCTGGCTGCTGGTTGCTGGTTTTTGGGGTTGAGAGGCTGGGGAGGGGTGGTGGGGGCTCTGCCTGGGGACTGAGGTGTTGGCACAGCAGGCAGGGCAGTGGGAGTCCTACTGGGAGGACTCCAGCCCCTGGAACTACGCGAACTGGGCGCCCACCCACCCCTTCCACATCGTCACCACCTGCACCACCCTCAGCGTCCGAGGTAAGCTCACCCAGCCACCGTGTCCAGGCTTGGGGGTGCTGGGGAGGGGAGCACAGGCTGCTGGGGCATTGGAGGGACATTGGGAGGGCACTGTGGGGAGGGGAGCACAGGGCACTGGATGAGCTGAGGGGAGCACTGAGGGCACTGGGAGGGGTTACAGGGCACTGGAGGAGGCAAGGGGGGGTAGAGGGGGCACTGGAAGTGGTTGCAGGGTACTGAGGGGGCTGGGAACCAGCCATGGCCCTGACACTGTCCTTGTCCCCAGATGGGCTCTGGCGAAGCCGCTTCTGCTTCCAGCTGCGTCCTTTCATCTGCCAGTACTGAGCCCCCAGCGCTGCCATGGCAGCCCAGTTCCTTTCCCAGTAAAGCAGAGAAGCCCTGAGCCGTGTCTGTGTGCACCAGGGGCCTGGGGACGGGGCTGGGGGCTCGAGGGGCAGCACAGTGAGTAGAGGGGGCAGCGATGTTTATTATCCCCACCCCGCTGGCACAGCGCCCCCAGGCCGGTACAAAAATGGTGTTTGGGCGTGGGGCTCAGTGCGGGGTCTCGGCGTGGATCTCAGTGCTGGGGGGCGCTGCCAGGGGGGTGCCAGCCGTGCCCAGCTCCTTGGCTCGCCGCTGGCACTCGCGGGCCACCACCACGGGGCTGACAAAAGCCACCAGCACCACGGTGATGAGCCCCAAGTTCATCTGCAGAGGGGAAGAGTGTCAGGGCAGGGGTCTGGGGGGCAGTCCCCCATCCCCTGTGTTAGGCCTGGACCCTTGTGGCAGCACCTCCATTTCTCCAGGAGCAGGACACCCTGGAGGTGCAGGACCCCCATTTCTCATGGCATAAGACTCAACCATTCCTGGGGGAAGGACTCCGTCCCTCCCGGGGCAGCATCCCCATTTCCCCATGTGGCAAGCCCCCTTCCCTCCCAGAGCAGGACCCCATTTCCCCGTCGAGCAGCCCCCCAGCCCTCACTCGAGGGGCACACTCACATAGAAGGGGTCCCCCTGGAGCGGCCCCTGCACCAGGGCGACACAGGGGTACTGCAGCAGGGCCACCAGCGCCGACAGTGCCATGGCCAGCCCGTAGAGCTTCCCAAAGTGCTGCGGGGGAAACCTGCCAGGCACCCATGTCACCAATGGGCACCTCCTGGCACCCCTACCCTGGCACCCTCCTGAGCCCTGAAACCTCCACTGTGTCACCTGCCACCCTCCAGCGCCACCGCCACCCCCTCCCACCCCATGCTGACCGCGACGCCCTGGCTGTCCCCCGCCACACCCACAACGACAGTGCCACCGTGCCCTGTCCCGCTGAGCCCTGCGCCCCCCGAGGCTGTCCCCAGTGACTCACGCGATGGCCAGGAAGGCGGCGTTGCCGCCGTACAGGAAGGAGCGGCTGATGACCTGCAGCACGAAGGTGCCGAACTGGGCGGGCAGGACAGGCACGGCGGCCAGCACGGAGAACAGCAGGCACAGCGCCACCGTCACCGCCAGCGACAGCACCGCCGAGCGCAGGTCTGCCAGCGCGGCCAGCGTCCCTGTGGGCAGGGGGGTCACGCCATGGGGACACCGCCCCCAGGACCGCGGGCTCGGGCATGTGGTGGTGGTAGCAATGAGGACACAGGGGACAGCGAGCACAGGACAGGACTGGGAGGGGTGTTACCCCCCTAGTGTGGGTCAGGGAGGGGTTCCGCGTGGGGTGAAGGGCCGTGGGGCTCAATCACCCGCGGGCATGGGCTGGGGGCTCAGTTACCCTCGGGGCGGGCGCCTTTTCCCCGCTTGTGCCGGTCGAGGATGAGGCCGTTCCAGGGGGCGCAGAGCACCCCGCAGAGCTGGGTGAAGGCGAAGGCGTTGGTGTACGTGCTCACTGCGGGGGGACAGCGTCAGGCGGGCGGGGCCAGCCCGGGGGTCCCTGCCGTGTCCCCCCGCCGCTATGCCGTACCCAGGGCGTGGTCCCCGTGCGCCAGGTGCTCCAGCTGCGGGTTGAGGGTGCCGATGAAAAGGTAATGGCGCAGCTGCATCACCGAGAGCCAGGCCACGTGCCAGGCGAACAGCCACGAGCAGGCGCAGGCCCGGAACGGCGTCCCAGGGGCGTCCCCACCTGTGCAGGTGTCAGGGTGGGGCACGTACAGACACACCCACCCAGGTCACACCCACACCTTGTCCCTGCCGACCACTGGGGCCTCACAGCCACCGGTCCGACCCTGCCCATTCAGGTATGTCACCGTGGCCACCCTTTAACCACGCCCACACACTGCCACACCCAGCACTCCCTCATTTGCATATCCTTGCCGTCCTCCAGCCGCACCCATCAACAGCCACGCCCATCCATCAGAAGGCCACACCCATCTATTTGCATATGCATTGTTCCCTCCAACCCGGCCATGAACAGCCACACCCCCAGGTGACACTCCTTAATTACGTAGCACGGCCCACGTCCAGCTGTGGTCACGCCCACCCACTCAAGCCCCTCCCCAAATATAAGCCCCACCCCAGCGAGCAGATTCCCACTCCGGCACCTCGAGCTATGGGGGGTTCCAGGGGTGTCTCCTCGGGTCCGGCCTCTCCCGGCGTTTGCTTGTCCTTGTGGGCTCGGTAGGAGCGGGAACGGCCCCGGCACTGCAGCCTGCGGCAGCGCCTGTATCACCCCGCGTCCACCTGCCGGGGCTGGACCTGCCCAGGGGACAGGACCCGCTGCCCGCAGGGTGGCACCCAGCCCCGGGTGGGACCCATCCCCTTCTCCCCAGAGCCCCCAGGGGCGGGGCACAGGCACCCCCATACCCGTAGTCGTAGTCGGGGGGCAGCGGGTAAGGGATGCGGCTGCGCGGCATCAGGAAGAGGGTGCGCAGGAGGTGCCAGGCACTGCAGGCTGCCAGGAACAGGAACATGGCCCGCAGGGACAGCCCCTGCTCGTACAGCAGCTGGGGACAAGGACGGAGTCAGGGACAGGGACAGGCTGCCAGCAGCCACCTGCTCAGGCCTCAGGTGTGTCCCCATATGTGGCCCCAGCAGTGACTCAGCTGTGTCCCACACTGTGTCCCCAATACGTCTATAGATGTGACCCAGCTGTTCCCAGCTCTGTCCTCCCCTGCCACCACTGCCACATCCCTCGCACCCACCTTGACGATGAGGAAGATGGCGGAGGAGGAGTCGAAGGCCCCGTTGTAGAGGGTGATGATGATGGAGCGGTAGTTCCCGAACAGGTTCCCCACCTGGCACAGAGAGACCCCTGTGTGCCATCAGAGCCCTCCCGTGCCACACAGGGTGGGTGTTGGACAGGTGTCCTTGCCACCACGTGGGTGTCAGGGTGCGGGGGGAACCCACCTGCATGTTGGTGAGGATGAGGAGGATGCCACCCACTGACAGCATGGACATGGCCGGGAAGAGCAGCACTGCCAGTTCTGGGGACACAGGGGTCAGTGGGGACACAGGGGTCAGTGGGGACAGGGGTTACCAAAGAGGTTGCCCCAGGGCTGGGGACCCCCTGGCCGCAGAGTCTCACCTGGCGTGGAGAAGGCGACGAGCAGGGTCCCGCCAGTGTAGAGGGAGCTAAAGGGGACAACGGTGACATGTGGGGACAGGAATCACAGGAGATTCCCATCCTTCAGCCCTTTGGGAGCCAGGCCACTCCAATGACCCCCATTCCCGGCAGCCCCAGCCGTGTCCCCCGTGTCCCCCGTGTCCCCCATCACTCACATGGCGATGAGGCGCGCGGCCGTGGTGCCGAAGCGGTCGAAGACAACGCCCATGGGGAAGGTCATGAAGTTGTTCATGAAGGAGCCGATGGTGAAGACCAGGGAGAACTGCTCATCCTGCCCACTGCAGTCTGGGAACGGCCACAAGTGGGGCATGGGGACACGGAGACAGGGGCATGGGGACACCGGGAATACCACGGGCGTGGGGACGCAGGCACCCGGGGACACGGGTCAGCGGAGATGCAGGGGACACCGGGCATGTGGGAGCACCATGGACGTGATGGTACTGGAGACATGGACCGGGGGACAGCAGGCACATGGGCTTGGGGACAGCGGGGACACAGAGCACTGCAGGGCATCAGGACACCGCAGACAGCAAAGACACAGGCACAGTGGGGACATGGGACAGCTCGGGGCACTGGGACAGCGGGGTCACGAGTCAGGGGACCATGGGGACACGGGGGGGGGGTCCATACCAGACCCCAGGGTGAGGTTGGGGCCGGAGGTGGCAGAGGGCTGACACAGCCCCTCGAAGTAGCCCAGGTCCTTGAGGACGAAGACGAGGGAGGCCCAGCCGAAGATGATGCCGCAGAAGGCGCCGCACTCCAGCAGCCCCGACAGGAGCGTCCCCAGGCGCTTGGCCAGCCCTGCTCCCCCTGCCATGGCACCTGCCCAGGCACCCACGGGCCTGGCACCAGCCTGGGGCGTCTTCACCAAGCCTGTGGGTCACAAAGGGCAGGTGTTATACCATGCTGGCACCCACCGGGGCACGGGGACACCTGGGTGCACAGGGGCAGCCAGGCAAAGGGCACTGTCACCCCGGCTCTGTCCCTTGTCCCTGGCCACAGCGGCTGGCACCGGTGTCCCCCCATGTGCCAGGGCACAGGGCAGGGCCTGCATGAGCCAGGGCTCATACATGTGGGGACAGCTGGTGACATGTGGCACACGGCCATTGACAGACACACACACCGATTTATGGGCACACACAGCTGTTTGCAGGGGCACACACACACATTTATGGGCACACACAGCTGTTCACAGACACACACACAGTTTGCAGGCGTGCACACAGATCTATGGGCACACACAGATTTATGGGCACACACAGCTGTTCACAGGCACACACACAGTTTGCAGGCGCGCACACCTGCACCGTGCCTGCTGACTCCCGTCCTGCACCCCCCACCCACGTGCACGAGGCCAGGCCCTGCTGCTGTCACTGTCACCTTCACCGCTGCCCTGCAGCCTGACCCCCGGCAGCGTGGCTGGGTCCCACCTCCCCACCCCCAGCGACTCCCCCATAATCTCTTGGGAGCACACCCGGGTCCCCCAGGCTGCCGGTCCCCGATTGTGCCTCGGGCCCCCTGATAGCACCTCGGGCCCCCCGATGGGGGCTCGGTCCCCTCGCTGTGCCAGGAGCCCCCTGTGCTGTCCCTCTGGCCCCGAGCCAGCCTGGCCCAGGTCCTGGCACAGCCACAGGGACGCTGGCACACTGCTGGGCACCCTGGTGTGAGCACTGGGGACGCACAACAACACAGCTCACCCCAGGGACACCAGCACCCTGCTGGGGACCTGGCACGGCCCTTGGGAAACTGGCACTCTTCCTAGTGATGCTGGCACAGCCCCTGGGGACATTGGCACCCCCTCAGGGACACCAACACACCCTCCCCCCCAGGGCCTGGCACAGTGCTTGGGAATCTGGGACAATCCCTGGAGATGCTGGCACAGGGACACAGGCACGCTGCAGGGGACAGTGACACACCCCCTAGGACCCAGCACAGCCCCTGGGCCCTCCCTTGGGGACCCTGGCACAGCCCTTGGGGACACTGTCACACCTCTGGGACCCCGCCACCCCCTGGGGGATCCTGTAATGTCCCCGGGGATCCCCTCACACTGCTGGGGACCGTGACAGGTCTCCTGGGGCCGCTGCTGCCCCAAACACTGCACTGCACTGGGGCTGTCACCGTGCTGGGGCTGACCACAGGTCACCCCACAATGCAGCTGGGACTCCCCTGTGACCCACAGCCGGGTGCCAAAGGCACCGAGGCCACGTCACCCCCAGCTCCCTCAGCCACACAGAGCCTGGCTCTGCTGCCCCTGTCCCCGTGTCGCTGCCCAGGGCCTGTGGCTGTCCCGCGGTAATGAGGGTAATGAGCCTCATTACAGTGACCAGCAGCTAAAGATTAACCTGCACAGAGCCGGGGGCGGGGGGGCCCGGGGGACCTGTGCTGTGCTTAGCCACTCAGGTGGCCAAAAATAGCACAGGCAGGGGCTATGACAGCGGCTGGGGGCACCGGGGCTCCCTGACATGCGGGGGGCACCCCGAGCCATTCACTATGGGTGCCAGCCACTGGGCCTGCCTGGGGTGTCCTGGACACGCTGTCCCTGCCAGCCACACGGGTGTGTCCCCTCAGCAGTGACCCCCCCATACTGGTGAGAGCTCCCCTGCACTGGTGAGAGCCCCCCTGCACTGGTGGGCCCTCCACGAGGGAGCAGGAGGCTCCAGCTCGGGTCAGCGTCAGTGGCTCTGTCCCCTCTGTCCCTGCCGTGTCCCCCAAGCTGCCCCCCGGGCCGTGAAGGGGCAGGGGGTGTCACAGGACCCCTGGGAGCTGCCCTAGGGCTGGGCGCCCCTCCCCGCCCCGCTGCCCCGGCGGGACGCGGTGTCCCGGGGCGGGCACTGCCCGCGGTCCCCGGAGCGGAGCAGCCCCGGCCGCGGGGATCGGCCCGCACTCGTGTGGCGGGGACACACGCGTGTCCCGGGGGTGGGCAGCCGTGGGGCTCCGCCGCGCCGGCCCCCCGAGCCTCCCCACGGCCCCGGGGCCGAGACGGCTCCGCCACGCGTACCCCGACACCGCCCCGAACACCCCGGGCATTCCGGGCACCCCGGGCACCCGCACCGCGACCACGCCGAGCCCAGCCCCGCAGGCCACGGGGCCAAGGCCCTCGGTCCTTCCGCATCCTCCCGTCCCGGTCACAACCCCCTCCCGCCGCCGCTCCGTGTCCATCCGGGCCCCTCCGGCTCCTCCCGCCGCATCCCCGCGCCGCTCACCCGCCTCCCGCCCGGCCCGGCGGGGAGGGGACCGGGCTCTCCCCGCCCGGCGCTCCCGGCGCTCCCGGTGCTCCCGGCGCCCCCGGTGCCGCGGCCCCTCCCGCCCGCCCCCCCCTCACGGCGGGCGGAGCGGAGCGGAGCTGCCGGGCCTGGCCGGGCCCCGCCCCCGGGCCCGCGGTTGGGGGGGGGCGGGAGGCGGCCTCGGTGCAGCGGCCCCGGCAGCCGCGGGTCCGCCCAGGAGGGGCCGGCCCGGCACGGAGCCCGTCCCCGGCGCCGCCCGTGCGCCCCTCGGCGTGTGCAGGTGCGACAGCTCACCTGCCGCCCCCGAGGTGCGCTCCGGCGGCGCCACCCTTGGCTCGCCCTGCTGGTCACCCTCGGGCCGGTTCGCAGCGGTGCTTGGGTCACCCCTCGGGCCGTTCCCGGACACCCCAGGGCCACCCTTGGGCCATCCCTGGGCCCCTCCCGCTGTGCCATCCCAGAGGCATTCCCATGCCACCCCGCCGTGCTGTGCTGTGTCCCCTGGCTGTCCCTGGTCCCCCACCCCCTGCCTTCGTCCCGCCCAGGACACTGCTGTCCCTCCCGTCACCCTCCCCTCCACATCCTCTCCTCTGTCCCTCTGTCCATCCACCAGTGCTTGCAGCCACCCGGTCTGTCCCCACCTGTCCCCACTGCTGCAGCCTCTCATCTGCTCTGCCAGCTGCCCTTCTGTCTGTTCATCACCCGTCCATCTGTCCATCACCCGTCCATCTGTCTGTCACCCATCCATCTGTCCATCGTCGGTCTGTCTGTCACCTGTCCATCTGTCCCCCTCCAGTCACAACTCCATCCATCCCACCCATCTGTCCCACAACCATCCAGCTGCCCGTTACCTGCCCTTCCCTCCACCTGTCCATCTGTCTGTCCTCCCCATCCTTCACCCATCTCTCCATTCGTCCACCCAATCTCCAGATGTTCTCCGTGCGTGTCTGTCCATCTGTCCACCTCTCCTTATGTCCACCTGTCCATCAATCCATCCTCCACCTCTCTGTCCACCCATCTGTCCCCTCCTTCCTTCCATCCATCCTCCACAGTCTGTCCGTCCGTCCATCCATCCCCTCCTTACCCACCCTGTCCCAGCTCCAGCACCCAGAGCAGCCCCCCGGGCGGGCTCCCCGTCCCGGTTCCAGACCGGCGCTGTCCGGCCGGGGGCTCGGCACCGGGCCGGGGGCACGGGCGGGGGGAGCGGATGGCGGCCCCTGACTCAGCCCCGCGCCGCCCACGCCCCCTCCCACGGCTGCCGCCGTACCAGCTTGTGGCATTTCGCTCGCCGGAGACGGCGCCGCAAACACGCGCCGGTGCCAGCCGGTGCCGATGCCGCCGCAGCCCGCGCGGCCACGCGTGTCCCCCCACGCGCGGCACCGCCTCGGGGCCCGCGCGTCCCGCACCGCCGCCGCCCGCTCTGCCCCGGGCCGGCACCGCCGCGGCGGCACCACGGACAGCGCCGGTCCGGCACCGCGAACAGCGCCGCGGTCCCGCGTGGGTGCGGACACCGCCCCCCGCGCCCCCCCGGCGGCTCGCTGGGTGCGGGGCTCCCGGTCCCGCCGCACCCGCCCCGGGGACAGCCCCCGCCGGGTCCCGCCGTCCACGGGGGCACCAAAGCCCGGCGCCGGTGCGGGGATCGTGGGACAGAGGGAGGGACGGACGGACAGACGGACGGACGGACGGAGGACGGAGACCACCCTCCGTGTCCCGCGGTCACAGCTCCCCACGCTCCCCCGCGCCCTTTCCCCGTGGGGGGAGCCCATCACAACCCGCGTCCCCGCTGGGGTTCCCCTCCTGAGTCCCGCAGGGCGTGGCCCCCGCGGGCGCCCGCAGCGCGTCCCTCCCTCTCCCCGCTGTCCCCCCTGTCCCTCCTGTCCCCGCTGTCCCCGCCGGGAGTCCCTGTGCCCACCCCTGTCCCGCCTGGGGCGGGCCAGCCCGGGAAGGGTTAAACGGCGGGGCCGGCGCGGGGGGCGGAGCGGCCGCCCCGGGATAAGGCGCGGCGCGGGGAGGGCTCAGCCCCACGGAGCCGCGGGCAGCGCCGCGCCGAGCCCACCCGTGCCCGAGCCCGAGCCCACCCGTGCCATGCCCCGGGGCGGCGGCGGCTGCTGCTCCCGGCGGCGCGGCGGGGGCGAAGGGGGCGAGCGGCCCCCCCCGGCACCGGCCATGACCCCGCGGGTGGGCAGCGCCTGAGCGGCCGCCCCGCCATGCGGCCCCCCACGGCTCGGGACCTGCCCCCAGGTAGGCGCGGGGTCGGGCGGGGTCCCGCGGGGGTCGGGCGGACCCGGGGGTGCCCCCCGGAGACCTCGGTCCCGGCTCGGGGCGCCCCGCGGCGCTCGGGGTGCGGGCGCCCCGGGGTGAGCGGGGAGCCCCCGGTGCGCGGGGACCCCGCGGCCGCCCGGAACGCGCGGCCCGGCGCGGGGGCGCAGTCCCGGGGCGCCCCGGGTTGCGTCCCCCCGCGACCCCCGGCGCGACGGTGCCCCCGACCCACGAGGCGCTGCTGCCAGCCCGGCCCGAGGTGTGGCTGTCTCCCGACCCGCGGAGGGGCCGGTGCCAGCCCGGGACCCCCGGCCCGGCGCGGCGGTGCCCCGTGACACGTGGGTACCCGCTGCCATCTCGGGGCACCGTGGGGGTGCCCCACGAACCCCGGCACGCCCCGTGCAGCACCGGCGTGCACAGCCCGGCTGCCGGCGCTCCACGATCCACGGGGTACCCGGTGGCTCCCCGTGAGCCCCAGCCCGGGGTGTGGGTACCCCACGATGCCCAGCGGGGTGTGCCCCGCGACTCACGGGGTACGCGGTGCCACCCCCGGACCCCCAGCGCGGCGCGGAGACGCCCCGCGGTTCCCCGAGTGGCACGGCGGGGAGCCGGGAGCGCCCGGGTCACGCCGCGGGTGGGTGCCGCGGGTCCGTGGGGTACCCGCAACTACCGGGGTGGGGGGGTTGGCACCCGGGGGGGGGGGAAGCTGAGAACCGGTGACTTCAGCTCCCAACTGAGTCAGCCCGCGGCGTGGGGGAGTGACAGATGGGACGCGGGTGGGGGGCGCACGCCGGCACGGGGCGCCGGGGGAGGGGGGCGGCGCTGAGCAGATGCGCCGGACGCCTCCGTGGGTGGCTGGGGGGTGGGCACCCCCCCAGCTCGCGGAGCACCGGCAGAGGGGAAGGGAGGGAAGGGGGCGGCGGGACCCCTCGGTGCATCTCCGGTGTGACCTCCGGTGCACCGGAGGGTCCCACCGCCCCCCTCCTTCCTCTCCCCTCCCCCGGTAGCGGCGACTGGGCGCATCCACGCATCCCCGGGCGTGGATCCAGGCCGCCGGGCTGAATTATGGATGAAGCTCTCGGGTTGCAGCCTGAGGGGGGGATGGACACGGGTGGGGGGGGGGGGGGGGAAAGGGGGGGATGCTGAACACCCGGAGCGGCGGCGCGTGTCGTCAGCCCGCGCCCACGCGTGCCCCGCCCCACACGTGGCCGCGGCACGCGCGCACGTGGCACCGCCCCGTTTGGGGAGGGGGCTCGGACCCCCTCCCAGAGTGGGGTGAGGGGGGTCCCAGGGGTCCGTGACCCCGTGAGGGGTTCCGGTGGACCGTGGGGCGGGCACGGTCCCGCGGGAGTGTGGGCACGGCAGGGGGGGGTCAGGGAGCTTTGAGGGTCCCTGGGGAGCGGGGGGCAGCCCCAGAAAGTCGCAGATGGACGGCCACGTTTTGGGGTGCCCGGCATTGGTGCTGTGCAGCAGCACAGCCCTGGGGGGGGGTCTCTGGGGATCACAGTGCTATGGGCTGATGTGGGTCTGGGGGCTGCAAGGGGCGCTCAGTGCTATGGGGCGTCATGACCTTGGGATTCTCTAGGGCTCTGTGGTGGTCCTAGGGATCTCCAAGGAGACCATGGCTGTGTGGGTGGGCACGGCCTTGGGGGGTCCCTGGGGGGGAGACATGGCCCTCAGGGGCCTGGTGGGGGCCATGGCCCTGTGGGTGGGCACAGTCCCCTGCCTCGGGGTGTCCAGCCCTACAGGGTGGTGATGACCTTGGCATTCTCCTGGGGAACCGTGGCCCTATGGAGCTGACGTGGCTTTAGAGGGCTTCTAGGAGCGCCCAGCCCTATGGGGTTGTCATGACCTTGGGGTTCTCCTGGGCAACCACGGCCCTAAGGGTGGGTTCAGTCCTGGGGGCCTCCTTGGGGTGCCCAGGATCAGGACCTTGGGACTCTCCCTAAGGATGGGGTGGGCACGGCCCCGGGGGGCTCCCAGAGCCATCCGTGGCCCCGGGATGTTCCTGGTGGGCACGGCCCGGGGAGGGCACGGCTCTGCGGGCTCCGGGGGGGCGGGCGGTGGCGGCGCGGGGGTCGGGGACGCGGGTGCCCCGCGCTGACGCCCCGCTGTGCCCTCAGGCGGGCGCCCGGCGGCCCTGCTGCTGCTGGCGGCGCTGGTGTGGGTGCCCGGCGGGGCTCCCGCCTGCCCCGCGCTCTGCACCTGCTACGTCTCGCCGCCCACCGTCAGCTGCCAGGCCAACAACTTCTCCTCGGTGCCCGCGGGGCTCCCGCCCGGCGCCCGCCGCCTCTTCCTGCAGAACAACGTCATCGGGGCGCTGCGGGCGGGCACCTTCGGGCCCAGCACCGTCACCCTCTGGCTCTACTCCAACAACATCTCCTCCATCCAGCCGGGCACCTTCCGCCACCTGCCCGCCCTGGAGGAGCTCGACCTGGGTGACAACCCGCACCTCCGCGTCCTGGCCCCCGACACCTTCCACGGCCTCCACCGCCTCCAGGCCCTGCACCTGTACCGGTGCCGGCTGGCCAACCTGCCCAGCGGCATCTTCCGCGGCCTCCGCAGCCTCCAGTACCTCTACCTGCAGGAGAACGGGCTGCTCTACCTCCAGGTGGGTGAGCAGGCGGGCACAGAGGTGGGACTGGACAGGGTGATGGTGACAAGCCATGGAGACAGGATGTGGGACGAGGTGGTGCTGGCACAGCCAGAATGTGGGGCAGGGACACGAGATGCTGAGGGAGCAGGGTGATGGCCGTGGGGCAGGACCATGGGTGACCCAGCATGGCAGGGACATGGGACAACGTCTTGCACGATGCTCACAGAGCAGGGACACAGTAGAAGGTGACAGGCGATGCTGGCAGGACTGGGCCCCACGGCAGGGCTCTGTGGGGCATACACCAGTGTCTCTGCAGCTGATGCCCACCAGGCAGGGCCACAGAGCAGCACGGTGAGCCCTCATCCCACACCCACCCCTCTCCCGTTCCCCGCAGGACGATCTCTTTGCCGACCTGGCCAACCTGAGCCACCTCTTCCTGCACGGCAACCGGCTGCGGGCGCTGTCCGAGGGCGTCTTCCGCGGGCTCTCGAGCCTGGACCGCCTGCTGCTGCACGCCAACCGGCTGGCAGCCATCCACCGCCGCGCCTTCGAGGGCCTGGCGCGCCTCACCATCCTCTACCTGTTCAACAACAGCCTGGTGGCCCTGCCCGGGGACCCGCTGGCCGCGCTGCCCTCGCTGCAGTTCCTGCGCCTCAACGCCAACCCCTGGGCCTGCGACTGCCGCGCGCGCCCGCTCTGGGCCTGGTTCCGGCGCACGCGCGTCTCCAGCTCGCCCGTGCCGTGCGCGAGCCCCCCTCAGCGCCGCGGCACCGACCTGCGCCACCTGCGGCCCCGCGACTTCGACGCCTGCCCCGAGGACGACGACGACGACGACGAGGAGATGGAAGACGGCAACGGCAGCAACGGGGTGGCGGTGATGGGCACCCCGGGGCGGGCGCTGGGGCGCCCCGGCACCCTCCCGGCCGCGCCGCCCTCCGCCTTCTACCGCGACGGGCTGCCCCCCCACGACCTGCGGGGACCCCAGCCCCGGCCGCCGCCCCCGTCCCGTGACTCCCGCGGGCCCCCCGAGGACGCCAGCTGCCCCCACGACCCCTGCGCCCCCATGGCCGCCGCCGCGCCCCGCCGGGCCCCCGCCCTCCTGCCCCTCCTGGCTCTGATCCTGCCCCGACTCTGAGCCCCCCTCGGGGGTCCCGGCTCCTCGGGGCAACCGCGCCCCCCTTCTCCCCAGGGGAGGCCTCAAGAACTGTGGGGAACAGCCGGCGGGTGGGGGGCCGCAGGATGCAGAAGGGGGTCCCCTCCCATCCTGAGCGGGAAAAACCCCCAACAGGAACCAAAAGGTGGGAAATTATTTATTAAAAATGGTCTTATTTTGGGAGAGCGGGGCCTGGCTGCTGTGGGTGGGCCACTGTCGATCCAGGTCACCGCCTGCCGCTCCTGAAATATTGATGGGAGCGGCGGGTGGCAGGGCAGCGAGGCGTGCAGGGCGCTGCGGGGGGGACGGACGGACGGACGGATGGACGGACACCCCCTGCAGGACACACACACCCCACCCGCCACCGTGGGGCCGGTGACACCCAGGCTGCCGTGACGGCGCCACCCCGCACCCCGGGCAGTGCTGGCGGGTGTCACGGGAGCCGCGGGCGCAGAGCAGAGCCACCCCCGCGCCCTGCACTGCCTGACCCACTTCCCGCAGGCACACGGATGGAGCACACGCTGCCGGGCTGCGGGCACGGGGACAGCGCCCACCCCCTGCCCGCGGTCCCTCTGGGTGTGTGTCACATCCTGGTCCTCGGTGGGTGTCCCTCACACAGCGTGGGGTGTCCCTCAGCGGGTGTAACTCACTGAGTGTCCGTGTCTCCCGGTTCCTCATCCCCTCCAGATGTCCCCAGAGGTGTGTGGGGTGTCTGTGTGTGTGCACACTGTCCCCACGTGGGTGTGCTCGTGTCCCTGTATGTGGGACTGTCCCCATGCCCCCTCCCCGTGGTCTCTGGCTGTCCCCACGTGGTCCTTGCCCAGGCAGAGGTGTCCCTGGGTTGTCCCCACGTGGTCCCATCTGTGTATCCTCAAACGGGGCTGCGTGTTCTGGGAGTGTCCCTGTGAGGGTGTCCCTGTGCCCTGCCCCTCGGGGGCTGTGTCCCTGTGCAGGGCCCCCAGCTGTCCCCTCTGGTGACCCCCAGCACAGACAGACAGGGAGGGGCTGAGCCCTGTCCCACCCCACTGGGGATTACAAGGGGCTCAGCCCAGCTCTGCCTAATCCGGGAGATTACATGGGCTGGGCCCAGCCGGGGGGGCAGCCAGGGGTGCCCCCCACAAGGACACGGCACGTGGCAGCTGGGGACAACAAGGGGGGCTCCCAGCAGCACCCACGGGCACCACGTACCCCAACACACGGCCACAGGGTGGGTTTGGGGGCGAGGGGAGCGCAGCAGACGCCCAGGTTTATTGGGGTGATGGGGGGGGGGCTCAGGCGGTGCCGCTGCCCTGCTGCATGCGCTTGAGCAGCTCCTCGTCCTGCAGCGACAGCTCCGTCAGCTTCTTGCCCATCCGCTCGTGCACCTCCAGGTACTTGGCCACGCAGCGGTCCAGGCACACGCACTCCCCTTTGGACAGCTCCGACTCCTTGTAGAACGGCGGCACGCACTTGCGGTGGCACGCCTGGGTCATCCTGCACGGAGCGCACCGCGCCTGAGCCCCGCGCCGGCCGGGACCCGGCCCCGCAGCCCAGCGTACCCCGTACCCCGCCATCGCCACCCCCGGCACCCCGACCCCGCACCCCAACATCTCCTGTGCCCCGCCATCGCCACCCCGGCACCCAGCCCCGCACCTCAGCACCCCCCGTTATCGGCATCCCCGGCGCCCCCAGCCCTTGCACCCCAACACCTCCTGCACCCGCACTGTCACCCAGCGGGACCCCGGCCTCTGCGCCCCACCAAGCCCAGCATCCCCCGTCATCGCCACCCGGGCACCCCTAGGACCCCCCGCCGTCCCCACCCTCAGGCATCTCCGGTTCCCCTCCCCATTTCCCGGGTATCTCCTAGCACCTCCCGCACTCCCCGACAGCCCCAGGGTCCCCCAGTGCCTCTGACACCCGCTAGTGTCCCCCAAGCCACTGACATCCCGGTATCCCAGCGCCGCCAGTGCTCTCTCCCGGCGGGCCTCACCGGTTGTACATGTCGGCCATCATCTCAACCTCCAGCTCGGCCGCCAGCTGCTGAGCCCGCAGCGGATCCATGGCGGCCAGCACCGGCCCCGCTCGGTCCCGGTCCCGATCACGGTCCCTCTGGGCCCGACCCCGCTCGGATCCGCCCCGCTGGACCCGCACGGTCCCGCTCGGTTCGGGACCCGGCGGCGGCTCCTGCAGGAACCACGTGGGCGCCGCGCTTCCGCCCACCCGCGCAGCGGCCCCGCCCCACCGCCGGTGCTGGCCAATCGCGTGCAGGAGGAGGCGGGACCAGGGGTGCGCCTCTGTCGCTGATTGGTCCCGCTGAAAGGGCGGGGCCCTGGCGGCGGCCGAGCGGCGGGAGGGGAGCGGCGGAGCGCGCGCTCGGCCCGGCCTTTGCCCCGCAGGGGGCGGGGTCACGGCAGGGGGGCGTGTCCAGGTCGAGGAGGGCGTGGCCACCGCCGGGACCTCACCCGGGCATGGCCGGGGGGCTTCGGGTCCCTCTCTGTGTGTCCCCTGTTCCTCGTGTCCCCGGGTCCTCCTGTGTCCTGCCGTCCTGCCCGGGCTGTCCCCGTGTGCCCTGTGTCCCCGCGTGTCTGTGTCCCCCATTGCCCCGGGGAGTCTGCTCCCCCCGCGCTCCCCGTGTCCCCGGTGTGTCCCCCGTGTGCCCGTGTCCGCGCTGTGTCCCCCGAACACCTCGGCGTGTCCATGTTCCCCACCTCGCCCGTGTGCCCGTGACCCCCAAGTCTCCCTGTCCCTGCCCAGGGTGTCCGTGTCCCCTGTGCCCCTCGGGTCGCACGGCACGGTTCGGTCCCCTCCCCGTGCGGTGTCGCCGCTGTCCGGGAGGGGCTGTCGGCGCGTTCCCCCTCCGCAGCCGTGCCCGGTGTCCGGCCCGGCCCCACGCGTGCCCCGCGGGTGGGCGGTGAGTGAAGGCGGCACCTGCCCCCGCCGGGTAAAAATAGCGCCGGGCGGGGGGGCCGGGGCGCAGCGGGGCCGGCGGAGCGGGAGCAGCCGCAGGGTACGGGCCGAGGGGTCGGGGGGCTCCGGGGGGCTCCGGGAGCGCCGGGGCTCCGGGAGCGGCCGGGAGGGTGCGCGCTGGGGGGCCCCGGGGAGAAGCACCGGAGGGCAGCAACGGAGACCGGGAATGGATTGTAGGGGGCGGGCAGTGGGAACGGGAGGGCAGCGAGAAGACATGTGGGGCCGGGAGGGGGACATGGCGGGGCCGGGATGGGATCCGGGCGCTCGGGAGGGGATAGGGGGGCAGGAGGGGGCACGGGGGGGCTGACATGGGGCATGAGGGCAATGGGAGGGTTGGTTTGGGGCTCGGGGGGCTGCTGGAAGACGTGAGGGGCCGGGCTGTGCTGTTGGGGTGCCGGGATGGGGCATGGGGGGGCCGGAGAGGGACAACTGGAATGCACAGCGTGGGAGTGGCAGGGCTGGGGGAGGGCATGGGGACAGGGACAGGAGGGGGTTTAGCCGGGCTGGGGGGCTGTGGGGGGCACGGGCAGGCTCACGGCTTCATCGGGGGGCACCCCAGTGACAGCCCTGTGGCCCTGCAGCAGTGACCGCAGCAACATGGAGGCTCTGGGAGACGCTGAAACCCCCACCTCGGACACCCCCATTTCGACAACCCTCACCTCGGACACCCCCGCCTCGGACACCCCCACCCCCGGCACCCCCACCCAGGACACCTCCACCGCGACCCCCGGCACCCCCACCTCGGACACCTCCACCCAGGACACCCCCACCCCTGGCACCCCCGCCTCGGACACCCCCACTGCGAGCACCCCGACCCCCGGCACCCCCACCCGAGACACCCCCTCTGACCCCGCCGCGGGGCCCGGGGAGGGCAGCGGGGAGGCGACGACTGCAGGGGGTGGGGAGGAGGCTCGGGAAGCGGGGGGCGATGGGGGGGACACGGGGGGTGATGGGGGGGACACGAACACGGGGGATGAAGGGAAGGGTACGGGGGGCTCAGGGGGGTGCGCGGGGGGAGACGCTGCCGGGGATGGCGGGGCAGAAGCGCCCCGGGGTGCCGGGAGCGATGCCGGGGATGGCGGTGCCGATGCCGGGCCAGGGACAGCCGGGGGCACCGGAGGGGGCACCGAGGGCGGTACCGAGGAGGGCACCGAGGGAAAAGCGGCGCCGGCAGCAGCGGGCAGCTCCCAGCGCCGACAGGTGAGGAGGGGTCGGAAGGGAGGCGGCGGCACAGCCAGGGCAGGAGGCGGTGGGAGGGCAGCTGCGGTACGGATGGGGACAGGGGTGGCTTTACTGGGGCAGGGTGAGGGTGCCAGGGCCAGCATGACAGTGCCAGGGACATTGTGTGAGTGACACTGACCGTGCTGGCAGTGCCACCCTGCCTGTGCCTTACAGGAACCCACTTGGCTTCAGGACGAGGATGACGAGCTGTGGCCTGAGTTCCCTCCCTGCTCGTCCCCAGAGGGGGCCACCAGCCCCACGTCCCCCATGTCCCCTACGTCCCCCATGTCCCCTACATCCCCTACATCTCCCACGTCCCCTACGTCCCCTATGTCCCCAGCATCCCCAGTGTCCCCCACAGGTAAGAGCCATTTGGGCAATGGCACCCGGGTGTCCTGGGGTCACTGCTGCCCCACAGTGTCCTCTTCCAGCGCTCTGACCCCTCCTCTCTCCTTGCAGCTGGCGCCGCCGAGGACACGGGGGGCAGCACGAGGTGTGTCCCCACGGGTGGCACCCCGGTCCCCCACGGCAGGGATGGCACCCCCCAGCGCCCTGCTCATGGCTGTCCCACCCGTGTGTGCCTGCAGGGCTGCTCCAGCGGGGGGGACACGGGACAAGGCAGCCCCCGGCTCGGCGGGACAGAGGCTGAGGCTGGAGGGGGCCGGGGGACGGCCACGAGTGGGGACCCGGGCACAGGGGCGCAGCGCCATCCTGGAGAAGTTCGGAGGGTGAGGGGGCCTGGCCCCGCGGGGGCAGGAGGGGCACTGAGGGAAGGGGGGACTCGGGGGTGTTGGGGGGCTACAGGACAGCCAGGGACAGTGGGATGGATGAAAGCAGGGGGGGTGTTGGAAGGCAATGGGAGGGACAGGGGAAATTAGGGGGCATGGGGGGCACAGGGCAATGGGGTCACTGGGGAAGTGGGGCTCTGTGGGGCAGTGGTGATACAGGGCGGACATGGGGCAATGAGGGAGCGTTTGGGACACGGGATATTGGGGACATGGGGCAATGAGGGAGCGTTTGGGACACAGGGGATATTGGGGACATGGGGCAATGAGGGGTGCAGGGAGGAATGGGGGGTCTGTAAAGCAGTGGGGCGTGGGACAGGGGGCTGTGTGGCCATGGGGCAAGTAGGGAGGATATGGGACAGAGGGGGTATTGGGGGCATGGGGCAATGAGCGGTACAGGGAGCAATGGGGGGGTCTGTAAAGCAGTGGGGTGGTGCGACAGGGGGCTGTGCGACCATGGGGCATTGGGGGCCCAGAGCCACGGGGCAATGGGGTCACGGAGGGGCTGGGGTCCCTGTGAGGGACCGTGGGGTGGGGATCCCACATGCCAGGTCCCCCCAGGGCTGCCAAGGGCCCAGCCCCGCACCTGCGGCGCTCGGGGGGGGCCGCCACGGTCAAGGCGATGCTGCTGGAGTGGTGCCGCGCCCGCACCCGCGGGTACCCGGTGAGCACCGGGGGGGCGGCGGGAGGGTCCGGGGCGGCCCGGGGATGGCCTGACCCCCCTGTCTGCGCAGAACGTGGACGTGCAGAACTTCTCGGGGAGCTGGGGCAGCGGCCTGGCCTTCTGCGCCCTCCTGCACAGCTTCTTCCCCGACGCCTTCGACTTCGCCGCTCTGGAGCCCAGCGCTCGCCGGGACAACTTCGCCCTGGCCTTCGCCACCGCCGAGTGCGTGAGCGCAGCGCCGGCCCCTCGGTGCCCCCGGACCCCCCGGGCGGCGCCGGTGACCGCCGTGTCCCTTGCCGCAGGGAGCGGGCGGGCTGCGCCCCGCTGCTGGAGGTGGAGGACATGGTGCGGCTGCCGGTGCCCGACGCCAAGTGCGTGTACACGTACGTGCAGGAGCTGTACCGCTGCCTGGTGGCCAAGGGGCTCGTCAAGACCAAGAAGCGCTGAGAGGGAGGGACCCCCACAGCCCCCCAGATGTGCCACCCCCTCCTCGTCCCCTGCTCTGTCCCTCAGCAGTAAAGGCCGTGCTTCCAGGCGGTGGTGGCCTCGTCTCTGCCCAGTGTCTGGGCGCTGTCACCAGGTTGGGGCACAGCCACCAGGAGGGTGACATATCCCCCAGGGTTCCCGGAGCCCCCCACCCTCCCAGTGAGGCCCCACGGAGCCGGAGCAGGTGATGCAGAGAATTTAGTGCCCTATGTGCGGGGCTGGGGGCGCGGCTCGGCGTGGAGCCGGGTGTGCTCCTCCGCCCGGCGCAGGAACTCCTCGGGGCGCTCCTGCAGCTCCCGGGCCACGTCGGGCCGCAGCAGCCGCCGGGGGTCCGGGCTGTCCAGCTGCAGCAGCAGGTCCTGGAGCACTGCAGGGGCACGGCGGGGTCAGGGGGGCGCCCACCCCCTGCGCCGTGCCCCCGTCCCCGCCGTGCCCACCTTGGATGGCGCGGGTGGCGGGCTCCCAGCGCCCGTGGCTGGTGAGGGGCTGGCACACGCGGCCCTCGAGATCCACGCTGGGGTGGTAGATGGGAGTGCGGAGGGTGGCGCAGGGCGGCTCATGCGGGTGGTTGGGGGAGAAGTTCAGCTCGAAGCGGAAGGCGCCAGCGTTGTATGGGGGGTTGTTCTGCCGGGGTATGGGGGCATCTCAGCCCCCTGTGCCGCAGCGTCCATCGCGGGAGGGGGGGTCTGTCCAGCCCTGATACCCTGTGCCCCTCATAGAAACTCCCTGTGCCAGCCCGAGCCCCTCAGGAGGGGAATCTCCACCCAGTGTCCTCAGAGGGGCCCTCCCCAGTTCTGTCCCAAGGGGGAACCTCACTCAGTGACACCGCCCCGTCCAAGGGGGACCCTCACTCAGTGACACCGCCCCGTCCCAAGGGGGACCCTCACTCAGTGACACAGCCCCGTCCCAAGGGTCACCCCCGTCCCTCCCATGTCCCCAGGGGCACATCCCTCCTCAAGCCCCCATGTTCCCCATGCTCAGGGGACCCCTCCCCGGCCCCGCTCCCCAGGACTCCCCGCAGCCCCCCGTGCCCCCCCCAGCGCACGGGCAGCAGGAGTCCCGTCCAGCGCCGCACGTTCCCGTCCAGCGGCCGCACGTCGCGGGCCCCCTCCCAGCTCCGCGCCTCCTCCAGCTCCTGCGGGAAGGGGTGGGGCGGGTGTGGGCGGAGGTGTGACCCCAGAGACCCCTCCATAGGGTAATCCTCCCTCAGGGACACCCCCCTCTGGGCGGGGCCGCCTGCAGACCCCGCCTCAATGGGCAGGGTTTATTTACCGGGCACGCTTTTATGGACGGGGCCGGAATTCTGGACACACCCCTGGGCGGGGCCGCCCCGCCGGGGAAACGAAACTGAAACGTGCCGGGGTGTTTGTCACCCCCGCACCGGAGACCCTGCACCCCGGTACTGCTTCCCTCGCACCCCGCCACCGGGACCCCCGGCACTGACACCCGCAGCACCGCCTCTCCCCGGCACCGGGACCCCCTCACCTGGCACTGACATCCCCCAGCACGGCTTCTGTCGCACCCCGGTACCGCTATCCCCGCACTGGCACTAACACTCTCCGGAACCCCCTTTCGCACCCCGGTACCGGGACCCGCGCACGGTAATCTCGGCCCCACCGGTCCCCGCTCCGGTGCGGACACCAGGACCCCCGCGCCGGTACCGCAGCGGCACCGAGTCCTGCTCCCGTCCCGGTGCCCCCGGTGCCCACCTTGGCGATCCGCCCGGCCATGGCGATCGGTGCCCGGTGCCACGGGGATGGGCTCCGTGGGGTCACGCCTCCGGGCGGGCGGGACGCGGTTCTGCGGCCTCGCGCCCGGCACGGGTGGGTGGGCACGGACGGGCCGGGGGCGGCCGGCGACCCCCGTCACCGCGGGGTGTGCCAGGGGTGACACAGAGCCGGCGCCCCGCGCAGACGGGAGCGAAACGGGACGCGGGGCCGCATCCCGGCTGCCTCCGCACCCCCGTGCCCGCCCCCGCATTACCGGCAGTGTCCCGGCTGATTTACGGGAAGCTCCTTAATTTTTAACCAGGCAGGGTCGGAGCCGGCCAGATTTCCCGGCGCCGCTGGACGCGCAGGGACCGACCCGCCGGGCACCCAGGTGGGCCCGGGGCGCTGCCACTGCCTCCCCCCACAGCCGGTCCGACGGGGGGACAGAGCGGGGGCACCCCGGGATGGGGGTGCGGGTGGGGATACGGGTGGTGCAGGGAGTGGGGTGCGGGGTGCCGGGGTGGGGGATGCTGGTGTCTGTCCTGTCCTTGACCTGTGCCCTCCCGCCAGCATGGCCATCAAGACACTCTGTCTGCCTCTGGTGTGGCTGGTGGCCACAGCCACGGTCACTGTCACCCCGGTAAGTGTGGCTCAGGGACACGGGCTCCCTGTGCCCGACACCCCTCCTCATCCGAGCCCCCACCCGAGTACCCCATGCCCCCCTCACACAAATCCCTGTGCCCAGGTGCTCGCTCTGGAGGCCCCTTCCAGCTGGACGCCACTGCTTGGGGAGCCCCCGACACCGCCTGTGCCCCCTGTGCCCCCTGCTCGCACCCCGGCTCCCTCGCAGGACGTGGGGACCCCCAGCGCTCACCCCGAGGGGCTGCCGGGCTGGGGTGTCACAGATGTGACAGCGCCGGAGGGGGCACTGGAGGAGCTGGACACTGCAGCCTATGGCTGGGGTATCACAGATGTCCCCACCCCCAGCCCCGCAGCGCCGGAGGGGGCACTGGAGGAGCTGGACACTGCAGCCTATGGCTGGAGTGTCACAGATGTCCCCAGCCCCACAGCGACAGACGAGGCGCTGGAGGAGCCGGACCCCATTGGCACCACGGCAGCGCCCCCGCCCGGCACCAGCGCCCCGCCGTGCCCTGGGGACGAGGAGCCTCCCGACGCCTGCGGGGAGCCCACGGGGGAGCAGCGGGCCGCCGTGGCCGAGGCTCTGGGCACCTTCGCCCTCCGCTTCTACCAGCGCATGGCAGACGAGGCCGGGCCCGACGCCAACCTGCTCTTCTCCCCCATCACCGTCGCCACGGGGCTCTCGCACCTGCTGCTGGGTGAGGGGCTGCCCGCGGGCACCGGCGCCGCCGTGTCACCGCTGTCCCAGCCGGGCACCGAGCCGAGCCTCCCCTGTGCCCGCAGGCGCCCGCGGAGAAACGCAGGAGCGTCTGGCCGCCCTCCTGGCGTACCCGCCGGGGCTGCGCTGCGTGCACGGCGCCCTGCAGCAGCTGGCCGGCACGCCAGGCCTCTTCTCGGCCGCCCAGATCTTCCACAACCCAGGTGAGGCGGGCTCCGGGTGCCGGTGGGGCGCCGCTCTCCGCCGGGCACCGGAGCTGACAGCGGGCCGTGCCGCCGCGCAGAGCTGCAGCTCCGGCCCCGCTTCCTCAACGACTCCCTGCGCTTCTACGGCGCCCGCCCGTACGCCCTGAGCGGCAACGAGAGCCTGGACCTGCAGCGCATCAACGCCTGGGTGCGGGAGGCCAGCCAGGGGCTGCTGCCCTCGCTGCTCTCCGCGCTGCCCCCCGAGCCCAGCCTGCTGCTGCTCAGCGCCGTCCACCTGCGCGGTACGGCCCCGCCACCGGGCATCCCCCGGGCATCTCCCGTATATCCCCCCGGCCATCCCCCCGGCCATCCCCCTGTGCATCCCCTCGAGCATCCCCCTGTGCATCCCCCCGACATCCCCCGGGCATCCCTCGGGCATCCTTCGGGCATCTCCCGATCATCCCCCCGGGCATCCCCCTGAGCATACCCCGAGCATCGGCGGGGCGCGGGGCTGAGGCCGCCCGGCGCGGTCCCGCCGGTGCCCCGGTGCCCCAGCCGCGGTGCCGTGTCCCCGCAGCCGCCTGGCGCACGCCGCTGGACCGCGAGAAGACGGTGCTGCTGCCCTTCCTGCGGCCCGGGCAGCGCCCCCGCAAGGTGCCCACCATGACCAGCGCCAAGTACCCCGTGGCCTCCTTCAGCGACTCCCGCCTGCGGGTCCAGGTAGCGCCGCCAGGTGCTGGGGGTCACTGCTGGGGGGATGGTGGCATGATGCCACTCCAGCGGCACTAAGGAATGCCAGGCTGTGATATAGCTCCTGCGGCACTCGGGGAGGATGCCAGGCTGATGTCACTGCCCTGGCACTGAAAGGGGCACAGGCTGTGCCCTCGCTCCCCTGGGGCTTTGGGGGACGCCAGGCTGGCGCCTCTCTGGTGGCACCGTGGGGGTGCCGGTCCGTGGGGTCCCGCAGTGGCCCTTAGGGGGGCTCTGCCCCACAGGTGGGGCGGCTGGAGCTGCACGGGGGGCTGAGCCTCGTGGTGCTGATGCCGCGGGAGCCGCTGGAGCCCCTGGAGAGCCTGGAGCGGGCGCTGGACCCCGCCACCTTCCTGGCGCTGCTGCGGCGGGCGGCCCGCACCCCGCCCCGGGCCACCGCGCTGTCCCTGCCCCGCCTGCGCCTCGACCTCGCCCTGGACGTGGTGCCTCTGCTCCACGACATGGGTAAGGACACCTCTGGTGGCGCCGCAGGGGCTGGCTGGGTCACATCGCTCCCGGTGCGGTGACCTTACACGGGCCCCTTCCCTGCCCTGAGGGTCACTTTCCCCAGGGTCCCCAAAGGCCACAATGTCCCCGGTATCCCCTGAGCCCCCTCCCACACTCCCGTGTCCCTGGTGTCCCCCATGTCCCCGGTGCCCCGGATGTGCCCCGCTCCCCCCAGCGCCCCTAATGTCCCCTTACATCCCAGTGTCCCCAAATTATCCCCAGCGGCCCGAACATCCCCCATCTCCCCGGTGTCCCCCTCACATCCCTGAGCGTCCCCTGGCGCCCCCCAGTGTCCCCGCTGTGTCCCTGTGTCCCCATGTCCCCGTCCCTCCGGTTTTCTCCGGACCCCCCGTGCCCCCGGGTTCCCTCGGTGTCCCCGCTGCCCCCGCGTTGGGCGGCAGTGGCGCTGAGGCCGGTGCCGCAGATTTCGGGCTGTTCCTGGACGCGGAGCTGTGCGGGCTGGCGCGGGGCCCGGCCGCGGTGGACACGGCGCGGCACCGGGCGGTGCTGGCGCTGGACGAGGCCGGCGTGGAGGCGGCGGCGGCCATGGCCACCTCGGTGGCGCGCTCGGCCCTGGTGCTGGAGGCCCTGCGCCCCTTCCTCTTCGTCCTCTGGCACAACAGCGGCGACTTCCCCGTCTTTATGGGCCGTCTCAGCGACCCGCAGCCCTGACTCTGCTCCTCCTGTGCCTGTCATCCCTCCTGCCATCCCTCCATCCTTCCCTCCCGCCTCCTCCTCCCTCCATCCCTGCCTCCTCCTCTCCCTGCTTCCCTCCTTCCCTCTCTCCTTTACCCCTCTCGTCCCATCCTTCCCTTGTCCCTCCTTTCCCTTGTCCCTCCTCCCTCCCTTCCTTCATCCCTTCCTCTCTCCTCTCCTCTCCTCTCCTCTCCTCTCCTCTCCTCTCCTCTCCTCTCCTCTCCTCTCCTCTCCTCTCCTCTCCTCTCCTCTCCTCTCCTCTCCTCTCCTCTCCTCTCCTCTCCTCTCCTCTCCTCTCCTCTCCTCTCCTCTCCTTTCCCCGCCAGCTCGGGGTCCCAATAAATGCACCATCCACCTCTTGCCGCCTGCGTGTGAGGAGGGGAAGGGACAGGCTGGGGGCACCAGGGACCCCACTCTGTGCCAGGCTGTGTGCCAGGGGTGGTGGCAGCACGGGGACAGGTGACAATCAGCACCTTCCTTAAAAAAAGCGCCTTTATTGCCCTAGAAAAGCCCCGCGACCCCCGCGGCCGGTGCCACCCGGGGGGCGCCGGGGGGCACAGCGAAGGTGCCAAGGAGGGGGTGACCCAGCGCCCCCCCAGGTGCCCCCCAGTGCCAGCCGCGGCCCCCCCTCAGTCCCAGCCGTTCTCCTTCACCATGTGCGACATCTCGATGATGAACTTCCCCTCCTTGTACTTCTGGCTGCTCTCGAACGCCTGCTCCTGGTGGGGGGACACACACAGTATCACCCCCGTGTCCCCACGGGCACTGCCTTCCCCGGGCCTTGGGGGTGTCCTCAGCAAAGGGTTGGGGTGCCCAGAGCGGGGTTTGGGGCCCAGGGATGCCCATGGAAGGGTTTGGGGTGCCCAGGGCAGGGATTGGGGTGCCCGGGGTGGGGATTGCGGTGCCCAGGGCAGGTTTGGGGTGCCCAGGGATGCCCATGGAAAGGGTTTGGGGTGCCCAGACAGGGATTGGGGTGCCCGGGGATGCCCATGGAAAGGGTTGGGGTGCCCAGGACAGGGTTTGGGGTGCTCAGGGAAGGGTTTGGGGTGCCCGGGGATGCCCATGGAAAGGGTCGGGATGCCAGGGCAGGGTTTGCAGTGCCCGGGGTGGGGATTGGGGTGCCCAGGGTGGGGATTTCGGTGCCCAGGGCAGGTTTGGGGTGCCCAGGGATGCCCATGGAAAGGGTTTGGGGTGCCCAGGACAGGGTTTGGGGTGCCCAGGGCAGGGTTTGGGGTGCCTTGGGATGCCCATGGAAAGGGTTGGTGTGCCCAGGACAGGGTTTGGGGTGCTCAGGGCAGGGTTTGGGGTGCCCAGGGATGCCCATGGAAGGGTTTGGGATGCCCAGGGCAGGGACTGGGGTGCCCGGGGATGCCCATGGAAAGGGTTGGGGGGCTCAGGGCAGGGATTGGGGTGCCTGAGAATAACGATGGAAGGGTTTGGGGTGTCCAGGGCAGGGTTTGGGGTACTCAGGGGTACCCATGGAAAGGGTTGTGGTGCCCAGAGCAGGGGCTGGGTTGCCCGGGGTGGGGACTGGGGTGCCCAGAGCAGGGATTGGGGTGCACAGAGATGCCCATGGAAAGGGTTTGGGGTGTCCAGGGCAGGTATTGGGGTGGCCAGGGCAGGGTTTGGTGTGCCCAGGGATGTCCATGGAAAGGGTTGGGGTGCCCAGGGCAGAGGTTGGGGTGCCCAGGTCAGGGATTGTGGTGCCCAGGGCAGGTTTTGGGGTGCTCAGGGCAGGGTTTGGTGTGCCCAGGGATGCCCATGGAAAGGGTTGAGGTGCTCATGGCAGGGTTGTGGCCCCCAGACAGGGGTCGTGGCCCCCGGGCAGTGCCCGCAGCAGGAGGGGGTCCCAGCTGGGGGTGGCACTCACGTATTTCCAGCCCAGGGTGGTCTTGCAGCTCTGGCAGAAGATGTCGGCCACCGAGTGCAGCCCCGTGAGCAGCAGGCGCTGCTCGGCCGGCCCGCAGCCCACGTTCACCCTGCACCGGGGACAGCGGGGCTCCCACCACCGGCCCGGCACCCCGGGCTCCCCTCCCCGCCGCCAGCCCCGGTGCCCCGGTACTCACACGGAGTTGAACAGGTAGGCACGGCCGTGGCTGCCCTGGAAGGACTGTGGGGACACAGCGAGTGTCACCGGTGCGGCCCCCATGGTTCCCGCACCCCTCCCTCCATGTCCTGCTCCCATCGGCTGGGGACACCGCGGGGGACACCTGCCAGCCCGGGGACACTCAGGGGAACACGGCCACCTCCGTGGGAGCCATACGGGTCACATGCCACCGCCAGCACACCGTGCCGTGGCGAAGGGGGTGGGGAGGATGCTTCAAACTCAGCGCTCTGGGGACGCGGCGAGGGGACACCCGCTGTCCTAGGACACCCCGGGGACGCGGCGACGGGACACCCGCTGTCGCAGCACACGAGGGACAGTGCCCGCCCGTGCCGGGGGTGGCGATGGCACCTTGGAGATGAGCTCCTCGTGGCGGGCCAGGTGCGCCCGGCAGTGCACGCAGCTGTAGGTGCGGTGCGAGCGCGGCAGGTAGCTGCGGAAGGTGCGCGGCGGCAGGCGGGCGGCGGGCGGCAGGCGGCGGCGGGCCGGGCCCGGGGGCGGCATGGCGGCGGCGGGCAGCGCCCCGGGGGGCACCGCGCAGCCCCCGCACAGCCGCTCGCACGGGAAGCAGCGCAGCAGCGCGCCCAGAGCCGCCGTCCCGCCCGGCAGAAGGAGGCGGAAAAGGGGGGCGGGCTGCGAGGGGAAGGGGGGCGGTGAGGGGGGACCCCTCCGCAGCCTCCCAGGAGGAGCCGGCTGAGAGCGGGCGGAGTGACACCGGGACAGCCGGGGACACCGGGACAGCCGGGGGGACACGGGGGGGCCGTCCCAGGATGGGTCTGGGGTCTCTTCTCGAAGCGTGGGGGAGTCCCCGGGAGTCCCCAGGGAGTCATGGCGGTTCTGAGGGGGAAACCTGCGGGTACCGAGCGGAGGGAATGGGGAACCGGGGGAAGGATGGAGGGAGTCCCGCCGGGAGATGGTGGGGGTCCTCACGGGGGGTGATGATGATGGGGGTCCCAAGGGGCCGGTTGGGGGTCCCGGGGGGGATGCCGGGGGTCCCCGGGAGGGTGCCGAGGGGATGTTTGCGGTGGCGGTGAAGGAGGACAGGGATGTCGCCCGGGGGGGGGGGGGGGCAATGTCAGGAGCGCTGCGGGACACGAGGGGGGCTCGGTGGGGCTGTGGGGGGCTCGGGGGGACACGATGGGGGGGTACCGGGTTCCGTGGCTTCCCGGGAGCCGCTCACCGCCCGCCGCTGTCCCCGCCGCTGCCGCTGATGTCGCCGCTGTCCCCGGGGCGGGCGCGGGGGGGCCCTGCGTGCCCGGGAGCCGCATCACGGCACCGTGACTCATCCCGCGGCCGTGACGTCACCGCCCGCTACCGCCGCCGTGACGTCACCGCACGGCTCTCCGACGTCAGCCCGGCCACCGGGGATGCGCTGCGACCCCCGGGGCACCTCCCGCTCCCTCATGGCCCCCCACATTCCCATGGATACCCCGTCCCTCCAGACCCCGTGTCCCCCCGTGTCCCCGTGTCCCGCCTTGTCCCCAGTGTCCCCCCGTGTGTCCCTGTCCCCTCATGTCCCCCGTGTCCCCCCTGTGAGATGTAAATTAGGCGGCGGGCGGGACTGTGTAAATGTCGTGCGAACGTCATGCAAACGATCCCGGGACTCATCCCGAGGGATCGGGGGAGGGGGGAGGGGAGAGGGGGAGCCCCACTGTGATGAGATGCAAACTCGGGGCGGGGCCGCGGGCGATATGCAAATGAGATGCAAACGAGCCGCAGGAAGCGGACAGGACACTCCCCCTCCCCACGTGACCCGAGTCACCCGCGCTCCCGGCGCGCCTCTCTGACGTCACTTCCGTCGCGGCGGCGGCGGCCGGGGGACACCGGGCCCGGGACCCCCGCGTCGCCGTCATGGCGGACGACGGCGGCGAGGAGAAGAAGCAGGTGGCCAAGTTCGAGCTGGAGCGGGAGACGGAGCTGCGCTTCGAGGTGGAGGCGGGGCAGACGGTGCAGCTGGAGCTGCTGACCGGCATGGCCGAGGTGTTCGGCACCGAGCTCACCCGCAACAAGAAGTTCACGTTCGACGCGGGCGCCAAGGTGGCCGTGTTCACGTGGCACGGCTGCACCGTGCAGCTCAGCGGCCGCACCGAGGTGGCCTACGTGTCGCGGGACACGCCGATGCTGCTGTACCTGAACACGCACACGGCGCTGGAGCAGATGCGGCGCCAGGCCGAGCGGGAGGACGAGCGCGGGCCCCGCGTCATGGTGGTGGGGCCCACCGACGTGGGCAAGACCACCGTGTGCCGCCTGCTGCTCAACTACGCCGTGCGCCTGGGCCGCCGGCCCACCTTCGTGGAGCTGGACGTGGGGCAGGGCTCGGTGTCCATCCCCGGCACCATGGGCGCGCTGTACATCGAGCGCCCGGCCGACGTGGAGGAGGGCTTCTCCCTGCAGGCCCCCCTCGTCTACCACTTCGGCTCCACCACGCCCGGCACCAACATCAAGCTCTACAACAAGGTGAGCGTGGAGGGTTCGGCCCGGCTCGGGTCTGGCCCCGGAGTTCCCCGGGATTTCCCTGCGGGGTGTCTGAATCCCCGGGTGCTGTTTGGGGACAGCAAAACGTGTTTTAGAAACAGCCTCGTGCACGGCCAGTCACCCCTTCCCAGCTGTGGGATGAGACAGGAGGACACGAAGTTGATGAAGGGAGCTGGAGCACCTCTCCTATGGAGACGGGCTGGGAGAGGTGGGGCAGTTCAGCCCGGAGGAGGAAAGTTTGTGCCCTGTCCTCAGAGCAGCCTTTTCCATCCTGAGGGCCTACGGGGAAGCTGGAGAGGGATTCTTGTCAGGATCTGGAGTGATAGGGTGGGGTGGAATGGGTTCACAGTGAGAGCAGAAGTTTAGCTGGATATTGGGAAGAAATTCTTTTAGTGTGAGGACAGTGAGGCCCTTCAGGGTTGCCCAGAGAGGCTGTGACTGCTCCATCCCTGGAACTGCCCCAGGCCAGGCTGGTTGGGGGTAGGAGGAAGCTGAGCTGGCTGAAGGCGTCCCTGCCATAGGGAACTGGGTGGGCAGGGACATCTGTTCCGAGCCAGACCATTCCACAATTCCATGATTTCGGAATGGAAGCCTTGAGAGTTCTGAAGGAGCTAGAGATGGTGTGGGGACGGTGTGGGGACAGCGTGGGGACACGGGTGCCTGGGTGTGACCCCTCCTCCCGCAGATCACGTCGTGCCTGGCCGACGTCTTCAACCAGCGCTGCGAGGTGAACCGGCGGGCGTCCGTCAGCGGCTGCGTCATCAACACCTGCGGCTGGGTCAAGAGCTCGGGCTACCAGGCGCTGGTGCACGCCGCCTCCGCCTTCGAGGTGGATGTGGTGGTGGTGCTGGACCAGGAGCGCCTCTACAACGAGCTCAAGCGGGACCTGCCGCACTTTGTGCGCACCGTGCTGCTGCCCAAGTCGGGCGGCGTGGTGGAGCGCTCCAAGGACTTCCGCCGCGAGTGCCGCGACGAGCGCATCCGCGAGTACTTCTACGGCTTCCGCGGCTGCTTCTACCCGCACGCCTTCGACGTCAAGTTCTCCGACGTCAAGATCTACAAGGTGGGCGCTCCCACCATCCCGGACTCGTGCCTGCCGCTGGGGATGTCGCAGGAGGACAACCAGCTGAAGCTGGTGCCGGTGACGCCGGGGCGGGACATGGTGCACCACCTGCTGAGCGTCAGCACCGCCGACAGCCCCGACGACAACATCTCCGAGACCAGCGTGGCCGGCTTCATCGTGGTCACCGGCGTGGACCTGGAGCGCCAGGTCTTCACCGTGCTGTCCCCGGCCCCGCGGCCCCTCCCCAAGAACTTCCTGCTCATCATGGACATTCGCTTCATGGACCTCAAGTAGGGCAGGGGCGGGATTTTCCTCCCCTGCCTCCTCCTCCTCCTCCCTGTGCTCCCCCCTTGTCCCTCCAGCGCGGTGTGACCCTGCTGCAGCACCCGCCCTTCGGTTTTATACATTTTGTACAATTTGCTATTAAATCTGGAAGCCTATGCCGCTGGTGAGCGTCTGCTGAGGGTGGTGGGTCCCCGAGGGGAGCGGGGATTGCCGGCCCCGGGCTCCCCCCGCGCCCGGAGTGCGAGCGCCCGGTCCCGTCTGGCCCCTCCGGCCCCCGGTGTGGTACGGCCCGCGCATGCGCCGAGCCTCCGGCCGTGGCCCCACCCACCGCGGCGTGAACGCGCACGCCCGCTCCGCGGCCCTGCGCATGCGCGCCGGGGCTGCCGGGGCGGGCCGGCGGAAGGCGGCCAATGGAGGCGCGCGGGGGGGCGCGGTGCGCACGCGCGCGCGTGACGTCCCGCCCGCCGCAGCCGCCGCCGTCCGTGCCCGGGGCCGCCGCCGCGCGCGGCCTCCTGCCGGTGAGTCACGTGGGCCGCGCGACCCCGCCGGGGCCCCGCCGCTCCGGCACCGCCGCCGCCTCCCCGGCCCGCCGCTCCCTCGCGCCCTTCGCCGGGCCGCGGCCGCCCCCGCCCCGCCGCTGCCCCCGTGGCTCCCCCCGCGCGCGGCTCGGGCTGTGCCCCGGTGCCCCCTCACCGCGCCGCGGCCCCTCCTGCCCGGCGCCCCAGCGAGCACCGACCCCTGCCCCGCCCGCCCCTCTGGCCGCGGCCCCGCTCCGCCGTTCCGCACGGCCGCCTGCCCGATGGTCGCGGTGCTTCTGCCCGGGAGTGCCGCTTCCTCCTGCCCCGGCTGCCGTGCCCGCGGCCCCGCCGCCACCGGAACCTTCTCCTGTGCCGCGGGGAGCCGGGCCGAGGGCTGCGGGAGCGGCGGGGAGCGGTGCCCCGCGGGCTGGGGCCGCCCCTGCGTACGGTGCGGGGTGAGCGCTCCGGAGCGGGGCTCGTTCCCCGCCTGGAAACCGCCCGGGGCCCGGGAGCGGCCGCAGGGAGCCGCGGGGCACTGTCCCGCACCCGGCCTGTCCCCGGTGCCCCCGGGAACGCCGCCACCGCGCTGTTGTGGGGCACCGGAGCGCGGCCTCTGTGCCGCGGCCCGTGGGGACCCGTGTTTACAGCACGGCCTCCCCTCACGGCACCGTCCCTGTTCCCGGTGCGGGGCACTGGAACGGCTCCAGCCCGGCCTCCCCTCAGAGAGAACTCCCGCATTCCCGAACGCCGGAGCTGTGCCCCCTCACCGCGCCGTTCGGAGGGGATCGGCTGCCCCGTGCTCCCCGTGCCTCCGGGAGCGGTTCCCCCGGATCTGCCGCTCCCGCCCCGGCACAGAGCTGGGTTTGGGCCTCAGGGATCCCCTGCACCGGGGGCTGCTCGGGATTTTTGGGGTGTGTGAAGTACAACCGGAGCCTTGTCCTGACCAAAGCCAGAGTTATCTTGGAGCGTCTTTCTGAGCTTAACCCAGTCACCCCCGTCCCTGGGCCGGGCCCGGGTGCTGCTTTAGCGGGCGTTTATTCCCGCTGGTTCCCCGGCCAGCAGCCCCATCTGGGAATGGAGAGGGCGGTGGTTGAGTGGGTCCAAGGGGAGACCTTGAACTCCCCTGTGAGGGGCCTGTCCGGGGACATTCCCACCTGTCGCTGTGCCCGCTGTCTCCTGACACAGTGACAAGAGGCTGGCGTTGTCCTTGCTCGCTGTGGGGCCCGTTGGGACGCGGCCTCGATGGATGAGGCATTGTTCCTCCTGCTTTGGCCATAAAATGGGGCTAATCCCGTGTAAAGCAGCAGGATGGGCTGCGGAAGGAGGATGGGAGCGGTGTAAGCCCTGGGCAGGAGATAAGCAGGGAGTGATTCCAGCCTTCTGGCTGTCTGCAGTGGAGTATTTCTCCATGTTCTGTGTTGATCCTTCTGTACTTCCACCTGGGAGAAAGGCAGGTGTGCAGGGTGCACCTGGAGGCGAGGAGCAGCCAGACAGACATTGGTGTGCATCCTCCTTTGGAATTAGGAGCAGGGTGGTGTCCCCAAAGTGTCCTGTTTGGGCGGGTGCTCCGGTTTGGACACAGGGCAGTGACCAGTGGGGATCTCACGCTGGCACTCCTCCAGTCAGTGCCAGGTTTGGGAAAATTTGCACTTTCTGTGATGGATTTTGGGGTGTGAATTGTTAGCTGGCTGTGCAGGGACAGGGTGAGCAGAGGGAGGAGGGAGTTCCTTGTTCCATGGACGCCCCTCTCTCACAGTGCCGGGCAGCGAGCTCTGGAAGGGCTCTGTGGAGCTCTGGGCTGCAGCTGATCCTAACAAAGTGGGAACAGGTGAAGCACATCCCGTCTGTCTCCCTGCAGCCGGGATCTGCCCTGTCTGGGAGTTGCCTCACGTGGAAGGAATTGTTTGTGTGTTTGCCCTGTGCCATGGGAACTCTGCTGGATCGGGGCAGGTCCCTGGGAGCTGTGGGTTTGGGAGGTTTGGGAGGCAGTGACTGGGAGGGAGCTCTGTCTGTCCTGCCTGTGCCATGGATCCCAGGGGTGGCAGGGGCCATGTGGTTGGTGCCAAAGTGCATTTCCTCCTTCCCGGGCAGGAGCAGAGTGAGGGAGGAGCGAATGTAGGGAGCTGGGGACACGTGTGTCCCCATCCCAGTAGAGGTGGGGAGCACCCCCTGCTCCAGAAGGGACAAGGCATGGAGCACCTGGCTGCGTGTGGGAAGGCTGGAAAGGGGCTGGAGCAGATGAGCAGAGTAGGGAAGGAGGAGAGCAGGGCTGGGAGGGGAGGAAAGGGAGGAAATCAGTGAGGCTTTACAGGGCCTTGAACCAAGAAAAGGAGATGCAGGCTCAGAGAAATGGAAGGTGTCAGCAGCCGTGCTTGCACATATCCCGAGGGAGGGAATTTGGAATGAAAAGAAATCCCCAGAAATGGAGGTGAAGGAAACAGGAGCAGCTCCCCTGTATGAGTGGAGAGAAACCCTGGAGAGTGGAGATGACTGCTCCAGAGGTGGCTGAGCAGAGCAGAACTGGGAAAGTGCTCCAAAAAGGAGGTGCTGGGATGGGAAAACCAGGTGGAATTTCTGAGGGAGGGGGAAGGGGGAGTGAGCAGTGACACAGGCGCTGGGGGAGGAAGGAGCAGGGCAGGTCTGGAGGAGCAGCAGGAGAGGAGGAGTTGCTGGGCTGGAATTGGCAGAGGGAAAGGAATGGGAGGCAAGAACAGAGCCCATGTAGGCCACAGGTAAGGAAGATGAGCTGGGGGCTCTGTGGAGCAGGGAAGTCTGAGTGGCCTTTGTGGATAGGGACAAAGTGGCCAGTGAGGCAGAGGATTTGGGGCAAAAGTGGAGGGAAAGGAAGGGTTGGTTGACCAGAGGTGGGCAGGTTGTAGGGCTGGGAAGGAATATGTGTGTTTGCGAGAATTGAGGCCTGAATTTGTGTAACCTGTGGGAATCTGGGGTGGGTTTTCCTTGTGTTTCTCCTGGACCCCTTGAGGACTGCAGAGCAGAGATCCCACATGTTGACAGCTTTTTCTCTGGGCTTCTGCAGCAGGGCTGGGGAGTGCTGTGGGGTCTCAGCACACATGGGGATCAGGAAGGCATTCTGGGGAGCAGTGAGGTGGCTCTGGGAGCCGGGATGGGCTCCTGTTTGATGAGTTGTGGTGTTATTCCAGGCACAGGCAGTGGAGCAGGGATGCATTTGCATCGCCTCTCGCTGGGGTGTCACTAATGACAGCGCTGGGGCTCTCCCCCTGCTCAGGGCTGCCGGATTCCATGGGGAGCTGGCTCTGGCACGCACAGCTCCGCAGGGATCCCCCTGGGAAGGGCTCCTGGATCTCTGGCTGGGAGGGCTGGGGCAGGGCAGGGCCACGAGGCGCATGCCCAGGGCGCCCTGCGAGGGCAGGGTGGGGATCTCCGGAGCAGGAATTATCAGGGAACAGCTCCTTCTGCCTGGCAGCGCCTGTTTGAGGCCGAGGTGTGGCCGTGCCTCCATGGCGGAGCGTTCAAAGGGCCGGCCGGGTGCTCAGGGAGCAGATTGCTCCTGCTAAAGCAATCAGCCGTGATGTCAGGCCCGCACTTCCGATAGCCCATCCCTGGAATTGCTGTTGGGCTCGGCTCTGTGGGGTGTTGGGCTCTTCCCCGAACAGGCAGAGCGGGGCTGGGAAACTGCTGCTCTCCAGGGAACTCTGTCCCTGCTGTGGAAAACAGCTTTCCCTGGTGTTACTGTTCAATTTGCTCCGCTCAGGAGCTGCTGCCAGGTGAAACCTGCACATTCCCTGCCGGGCAGAGCCTCAGCCCCACGTTTCCTCTCACTCCCAAGGGCAGGGAAACCAAAGTTGAGCTTTGGTCCTGCAGAGGCCGAGTGGCAGGAGCTGTTGCTGGGTGAGTCAGGCGGAGTGGCCGTGAGCTGGGGCTGAGCCCACTTGGTGGTAACACATCCTTGTCATTAAAGCCGCCTTTAATTGGGCGCCGCAGCTCTCCCAACCTTCACTCGCGTTTAGTCAGCGCTGGAGAGTTCCCTGCCCACCCCGAAGGACAAACTGGGGAGGCAGAGAAAGCTGGAAGGGAGAAAGGAGTGAGCTGTGGGCTGTGCTTGGACCTGCACATGGAGGCAGCAAGGGGAGGGCAGGTGACAGACGGTGACAAGGTGAGGAGCGGTGGCTGTGGCAGCAGGAACTGGTGGGATATGATGGGTGATGGGCTGGTGGCTGCTTGGGGCAGGGACGCCTTCCACTATCCCAGGCTGCTCCAAGCCCCATCCAGCCTGGCCTTGGACACTTCTAGGAATGTGGCATCCCCAGCTTCTCTGGGCAACCTGTGCCAGGGCCTCACCACCCTCACAGGGAAGAATTCCTTCCCAATATCCCATCCAGCCCTGAGCTCTTCATTTCAAATCCACTCTTCCTTGTCCTGGCACTGCAGTTCCTGATGAATCCAGAGCTGCAAAGGCCACCTCTGATCATGGGATTGGTGTTTCCATGGGCCTCTCCTGTCTCCTGCCCTCCATGGAAGGGGCTGAGATTCCTGGGTGTTTTTTCCTGCTGTGGTCTCCACCCTTATGTTAAATCCTGGAGTCTCTGCTCAGCCCCTGCCCCTCAGGGAGCCAGCACTCGCTGGTGCTGGGATTTGGGCCAGAGCTGCAGGAAGGAATTCATGGTGTCCCTCCAGTCCTTCCAGGACTCAGGGTGGGTTTCTTGGGGATAGAGGGAGTAGCTTGGAGTTCCTGCAGCAGCCAGTGCCCCTGGGCTGGGACGGCAGATGCCCTGGCCAGGCTGCTGTGGCTAATGACAGCCGGCTCCTTCCCTTCTCTGCCGTGCTAATTTCTGTTGCTGTTTTTTCCAGGTGAGCTGTGACACACCAGACCTCGAGTTTTAATGGTTTTATGTAGTATTTTTTAAAAGACTGATGGATGGATGAATGAAGAAGGATTTTAACGAAGGAAGGGGAAGGGAAAAATGGAGCTGTTTGGAACAAACTGAGGTTTCTCCCCGCACTGCCCGGGCCATGGGTGAGACAGAGCTGCTCAGCACCCCTTCCACCCTTTGGTGTCTGCTGGGGTTGTAAAGGCGCTCCCTGAACACCCCCTTCCCGTTCACCTGCTGGGAAATGGTTGCTGCAGAGAAGATTTAATGAAATTCCTGTCGCTCCCCAACCGCCAAGTGGATTCTGAGCCCATGGAAGGGCCTGGGGGGTCAGGAGAAAGGAGCAAGTAGGAAAACCCACAAGCCACCAGACCTTCCCCTCCGCCCCCCTCGAAAAAAAGGATTTACAGCTCAACCCTGCACCAGCTGTTCCTCGGCTTTAACAGACAAGAGAGAAATAAATAAAATTAAACGGCCACCGCCAGCCAGCCAGCCCCAGATCCCGGTGAAATCAGGGAGAGTGTTTCCGTGACCCCTCCAGCGAGGGGAGGAGGAGGAGGCACGGCAGCTCCGTGAGGAAGCTGGGATTGCTTGGAGACCACCCCCTCCTTCCGTGCAGCACCGGGGGCTGCGCACAGCCGAGGCGGATTAAAAAGGAGAAGTGGCTGCCCTGAGGCTCCCGGAGTGGCTTTTTTGCAAGCACTTTGCTGATCCTGTGCTCTTCTCGGGGCGCTGGCTGGGTGGGAAGCAGCCTGCCCCAGCCTGGGGAATTCCCTCCCTGCTGAGCCTGCCTGTGGGCTGCTGCCTGGACTGAGGCTTGCAAGGGCTCTCGGCATTCCCACTCCAACGGTTGTCCTAAACCCAAATCCCCTTCTCTGTTGTGAATTTTTAATGTTTTTAACCCTCCTTCCCCGTGCCCGGGAGCTCTCACGGGGCAGAGCTTAGAGTGGGCTCCTCTCCTGGGCCTCCTGCTCCTGACCCTTCTCCGGACTGCGCGCCCCGGTCGGAGCTCGCCCCGGGAGCAGGCGTGGGGGCAGGGTAGGGGTCAGCCCCTGTCCCCCTCCCCTTCTCATCCTGCTCTGAGTCCCCTGGGGCCTGGGCTATGCTGCGGGGCGGACCCCCCACCACAGCTCCAACATGCCAGCAGCCTCTGGAAAGAGATTCAAACCCAGCAAGTACGTGCCGGTCTCTGCTGCTGCCATCTTCCTAGTGGGAGCCACCACCCTCTTCTTCGCCTTCACGTGAGTCCCGGCGGCTGGGCCAGAGCGGGGAGGGCCGGCAAGGACAGGGGACAGGAGCTGGGATTTCCTCCCAGAGGGAAGGGGGGTATTGTGCTCTGGGTGCTGCAGCCACAGCAGGAGCCATTTCATTCACTCCATGAGTTTTCCCAGGGGAAGCTGTGTGCTGGCCGTCCTGGTGGTGAGGCACCACTCAGCTCCAGGTCCGCTGGGCTGGGAACTGGTTTGTGACCTGTGGGTGGAAAAGGCATGGATCACTTTCTCCTTTGGAGCCAGGCGAGGTGGATTGGTGGGCTGGGGCAGGACACGTGTTATTTTTAGTTTCGTAATCGATTTGTGAGCCACAAAGGAAAGTTCAGGGAGGAGAACTCTGACCCCAGTGCGGATCACTCGGATCACTCGCTGTGTTCTGTCCCCTGCCCTGGGGCAATGAGGGTTCCGTGTTCCTGGAGAGGGTTCCGGGGAAATGGCCAGCAGGTCACTGGGGCCTGGGGGGGCCACTGGGCTGGGAGATGGTGCTGGGTGCTGGAGAGGTGTGGTGACATCCCTGGGCTGCTGCTGTTCCCTGCCCGGTGACACGTGCCCTAGTGACGTGCTCAGGGGGTGACAGGCGGGGGAGCAGAACCTCGAGGTGCTGACGGAGCCCGGCAGAGGGTGGCTCGGCTGGGCTGGCACCATGGCACAGTGTGCCAGGCAGGAAAGCCAGAGCATGGCAGCTGGAATGGCCACCAGGTCCTGCAGGGCATCCCCGGGGTCTCAGCAGGGATGTGTGTGGGGTCCTGGCAGGGTGCAGGAAGGAGCTGCACCCTCAGCTTCAGGGAGCCTCTCCCACTGCCTGGGCTTTTCCTGCTGGGGCTGCGGAATCAGCTGGAGCTGTGGGAGGCCAAAGGGACAGGTGCCATGGCTGCTGCCACTCCCTGGGAAGGCTCCATTGGTGGCAGGAAGGTCACCGTGGCTTTGGTGACGGGGGAACATGACAACTGGGCAGGGACGGGGGAACTTGACAACCAAAGAGGAGAGCGGGTTGGTTCGCCCCATCCAGCGCTCGTGCAGCTGGCAGTGTCACTCAGCAGCGTGTGGCTGTCCCCTGCTGGGACACCGGGCAGTCACCAGGCTGCCAGGCTTGGGGTTTGGCTGCTCCAGGCTGCCTGATGCCTGTGGAAGTCGCTGACTCTTGCTGCTGTGCCAGGGGTTGAAGGAGAGGCGGAGGGAGCGGGCGGTGCCCTCCGAGCTGCGTGTGCCACCCCGTGTGTGACCTTAGGGGACAGGCTGGCTCTGGTTTGGCACGGTGGCTGCCGGACAGCTGGACCCCGGGCCCATCCCAGCCTCGGGTGCCAGCAGCGCCGGGAGCAGCCGCTTATCAGCGGGCGGCGAGAGGCAGCGCCGGCGCCGCGGAGGAGCAGGTTTGGCCGGGGCAGGAGCTCCTGGGCAGGTCGCTGTAATTGCAGGTCAGCAGTGTTGTTTATCCGACTGCAGAACATCCTACTAAAGCCCGGGCATGGCGTTCACACGCTCCCTGTGGGATGGATCCTTTGGGACAGGGTCTGCCTGGTGCTGGAGCAGGTGGGCAGGGATGTGGGGCTCCAGGTTTGCCTCCTGTGTGGTCCTCGGGGCCACTGTGCCCCTTCCCCCTGTCAGCATCCGACCTAAGGCTGGTCCTTCGGGAAGTGCAGTGGAAGCTGTGGGGACAGGCTCTGGGAGACGTCCCCAAAACAGGGAGCAGCCAGGGGTCGGCATGGCTCTCAAGGCTCCAGTTGTGTTGCTTCCAGCCTATCCACTGGATGCCTTTTGGTCCATCCAGGATTTGTGTCTCTGGGCCAAGAACTCTCTTTAATTGATTAATTTAATTAGGAGCTGCTGCTGCTGCTGAGCACATGGCAGTGGAAATGAGGCCGGTTGTCCTGGAGGGAGGGGAGCAGGAGAGGGGATGTTCCCTCCTCCCCCTGGGATGAGTGGGGGTCCCAGGCTTGCTGGCCTCTCAGACAGGTGCTGATTTAGGATGGAAATTGCCCATTGGGGTCCATTTTTCCATTCCTGCATGTCCTCGCTGGCTGGTCCCAGCTCCTGGTGCAGTTGGTTCTCAGGTTCCCTGTGCCCCCCCTGGGGCTGGCAGTGCCACTGGGACACAGTGCCATGCCCGCTCCCAGTCAGATCCAAACCTGTGTGAGGGTGAGCAGGGATTGTATTTGTCCCAGGGCCTTTGGAGAGCCCATGGGTCAGAGCCCAGGGAACAGGAGGGAGGGAAGGCTGTGCCTGGGAGAGTGCAGGGGCTGAGGGGCTGGGGAGGGGGTGCCAGCAGGGAGGGAGGGACAGGCTTCTCCGGGCGTGACTGGTAGCAAGGAGCCCGTGTCTCATCCCGCTGTGACTCATGGTGCCCGAGGTTCCCCGAGTCCTCTCATGTGCTGCCAGGGACAAGTCCCAGCAGCTCCTCTGGCCACGAGCGTGTTGCGTGCCGATCCTGAGGGGCAGCCCGATGGGTGCTGCGGGACCTGCGTGGCTGGTGATGGGGAGGAGCCTCCCTGCTGCTCCTGCTGCTCCTGCCCCGTGTGCCCCGGGCTCGAGGCAGGGCCTGCAGCCCTGCACTCTCTGTTCAGGAGAGCAAAAGGCAGGAACACATCACTCCCCTGATAAGGAGGTTCCCTTGGGATGGGCACCACCTTTGCTCCCTGCGGAGGATCCTGATCCCTCCAGTGGCTGGGGGTGGTCCCAGGAGGTCACTCTGTGGCTTTGGGGTCACCAGCATGGTGCCACTGGCTCTGTGGGGATTCCCGGGGCACAGGGAGTCAGGAAGGCAGCAGGTCCTGGTGTTCCCTATGGAGGATATTCTGCTTGCCCTGGCCCATGAATCCATCCCACCCAGGGGGTCTCATCAGTGTGTCTGAGCCCACTGTCCTGCCCCAGGAGCTGTGTGTCCCTCCAGCAAGGGCTGGAAGGTGTTCCCTTCCCCTGGTCCCTCCCTCTCTGTGTGCCTCAGAGCTTTCTGAGGCATCTGGATCCTTCCCTGCCTCCCTGGGCTCTGTCTCTCAGGATCCAGGCCGTGTCCTTGGCTCAGCCTGCCTGTTGGCTGTTCCCTGTGTGGGATGACTGCCCGGGCATGGGTCTTCCTGGCTCCCCTCCATCTCTTTCAAGCAAAAGTTTGGGCTGGGATTTCCCTTCTTGGAAAGAGGAGCTTCTTCCACAGGGTTTCTGGAATGGCATTTCCTACTTTTAGGGCTCCTCTGAGCCCCCTGGCCCTCTCTGTACAGCAGAGAGCAGAGCCAGGGAGGCTTCTCTCAAGTGGCGTAGGAGTTCAGCTCAGGGACATGGGATCCTTGGTTCTGGTGTGTCCTCACACTCGACAACCCCCTGACAGGAGGGTGTGGCCAGGTGAGGTTGGGCTCTTCTCCCAAGGAACACGACGAAGCGGCCTCAGGCGGTGCCAGGAGAGGTTTAGTTTGAATGTTAGGGAAAATTTCCTCATGGAAAGGGTTGTTTGGTGACTCTAGCACTGCCCAGGGCAGTGGTGGAGTCACCACAAAACATGTGGCTGTGGCACTTGGGGACACGGTTCAGTGGTGGCCCTGACAGTGCTGGGGAGGCAGTTGGAATTGGTGATCTTGGAGGGTTTTTCCAACCTGAACGATTCTGTGATTCCATGACTCCATGATTTGTCCCTTGCTCGGGTTGTGGCCTGGCACTGTCACTTAGGTCCTGTGCCTCCAGCGCTGCTCTCTGAGGGTTTTGGGGCACAGATTGGAGAGGACTCCTCCTCTGCAGCCGTCCCAGCTGGGAGAATCCGCCTGGCTGGCTTCCAGCGCAGGCGGCAGGGCCGGCATGGCCGGTGCCGCTCAGGAGCCGCTCCCCAGCCCGGGGCACAGCTCGGGGGGCTGGGCCAGGAGATCCCATTCGGGAAATGCCATCCCGGGAGATGCCAGCCTGATACGGAGCAGGGAGGCAGCACCCAGGGTGCCCAGCAGGGTGGCTCCTCAGGAATGAGGGGGAAGAGGTTTTGGGGAAGGTGGTGTGTGGGGCCTGGGGGGCCAGAGAGGAGGAGGAGGAGGAAGAAGATAAGTGTGCTGGGTGGCTTGGCCGTGCTGTCCTCCTTGCCAGGGATGTCTTCCAACCAAAAGTCTGCCGTCCTGCTGTCTCACCCCTGTGCCTGGATGGGGACAGCCTCAGCCTTGGCCTGTGAGAGCAGGTCCCAGCCTCCCTGGGGCACGGAGCGGTGCCCGGTGCTGGGAGCGCCCTGCCCGCCTCACCCTCTGTGCTGCCAGGTGTGTGCTGGAAGGGTGTGCCCGCTTCTCCTGCCCTGCCCCTGGCACTGCTGCTGCTCCCCACCCGGGGGTGCCCCCTGCCCTCCTCAGGGCCCTGAACTGGGACAGAGCCCTGCACCAGCTGGAGCCTTGGCATGGCTCTGGGAGCTGCTGTGACAAGGACGGGGCTGGCGATGGGACCTGTCTCTGTGGGTGGTGGTGGAGGAGGGGACAGGGCCAGCGCCTGCCCCTTCACCCCAGCCTGGGGGGATTACAGCCCTGGCACCATATGTCGCCCTGCCCGCCCAGCCCCACGCTGCTCCGGGCACCTAAATCCATCGGCACTTAGCCCAGTGGGGGGAAGAGAGGGACAGATGCTGCCCTAGATCTGTGGGATTTAATCCCAGCAGCAAAGCAGATTAGGGAATTACGCTGGCGCCTGCGAGGGGGAAGCCCGCTGTCCTAGCCCTCCTGCTGGGACAGGAGGGAGCAGGGTGATTCCCTCACTGCGCTCCCACGGCCTTTTTGGAGGAGCTGGGTGCTGGCTGGGGTCCCCCTGTCCTGCAGGAGCGGTCCCTGGGATGTGAGGAGCATGAGTGGCTCTGCAGGCACTGGAACTGGTGCTGGTTTCGTGTCCCCTCCCTCACAGGGTCCCCTGTGCCCTGAGCAGCTGGTGGGGCACAGGGAGGGTGACATCCTGCTTTCTGGCAGGTCCCCTGGGTGCCCCCCATGCCATTGGCCTGGTTTTTCCTATTGCCAGCACTACTGCTCTGTGGGACCCTCCAGTGGGGTCCCAAAGGGGAATTTTGCTCCCTGAAGGATGCCTGGAGCACGTCCCACTGTGGCCCGCAGGTGCTCCCCAGGCTGTGCTGTGGAAGTGGCTGCAGTGTGGGTGTGGGATGCTCTGCTGGGAGGCGGTGGGAGTGACACAAGTGAGGGTCCGAGGGTCTCACGGCTGCTGTGCCTGCAGGTGCCCAGGGCTCAGTATCTACGTGTCCCCCATCATCCCCGCCTACAATGCCGTCGTCTTCCTCTTCGTGCTGGCCAACTTCAGCATGGCCACCTTCATGGACCCAGGCATATTCCCACGAGGTGAGTCCGGCTCTGGCCGGGAGAAGCTGCCTCCTTGCACCCTTCCTCTGAGGTAAAGGGGATTTCTGGGTCCCAAAAGGCTGGTGAGGAGCCTTCCTCGCCCTGCCCGGTGGGATCAGGCAGTGACAAGCGCTGCAGAGATGGGTTCAGCATCCCATGTTGGGTCCTTGGGACGCAGGCAGTGTCAGGATTCTGGGACAGGACCTGGCAGAGCACCCCCCAGCTTGTTTGGGGGTGCCTGGCTGTCCCTGTGCCAGGTGACAGCAAGGTGATGCTGGGAGCCTTTGGCTCGGGCAAAGGGGCAGCCCAGGGGCTGCCTGGGCCCTGACGCCATGCCGGGGTGTCCCCATCAGCTGAGGAGGACGAGGACAAAGAGGACGATTTCCGGGCGCCGCTGTACAAGACGGTGGAGATCAAGGGCATCCAGGTGCGCATGAAGTGGTGCGCGACCTGCCGCTTCTACCGCCCGCCGCGCTGCTCCCACTGCAGCGTCTGCGACAACTGCGTGGAGGTGAGGAGCTGCGGGGCCTCCGCCAGCCCCCCATGGGGCAGGGAGCCCCCCAGCACCCCCTCACCGAGCCCCATCCCCGGCAGGAGTTCGACCACCACTGCCCCTGGGTCAACAACTGCATCGGGCGGCGCAACTACCGCTACTTCTTCCTGTTCCTGCTGTCGCTCACCACGCACATCATGGGCGTCTTCGGCTTCGGGCTGCTCTACGTCCTGTACCAGGTGGAGGAGCTCTCCGGCGTCCGCATGGCCGTCACGTATCCTGCTGGGCAGCGCGGGTGGGCAGGGCGGGCTGGGCTCTGGGCGCGGTGCCCGGCGGGGCTGTGGCTGCTCCTTAGCTGGCTGTGGCAGCATGGTGGTGATGTGCGTGGCTGGGCTCTTCTTCATTCCCGTCGCTGGCCTGACAGGCTTCCACGTGGTGCTCGTGGCCAGGGGCCGCACTACCAATGAACAGGTACGTCTGAGGGACTATGGGGGGACTGCCTGCTGGCCAGGCCACCGAGGGACACAGTTTGGGATTTCCTGGGGCGGGTTGGATTAAAGCTGGAGGAGGCCCCTGAGCTGCAGAGGTGGAGCACAGGGTGACTGAGAGGCAGTTGCATTCATGGGGGTGCAGTCAGAGGATGGAGCCAGGCAGGCACTTCTGGGGCCCAAGAGGTGAAATTGAGGAGACCTGACCCCCTCAAGGGTATCTGAGCACTGAAACAGGCACTAGGAAAAGGAGCAGGATCTCGGAGTATCTCTGTCCTGGTCCCGAGGGGGTGTCCTGAGGGAGCTGGCATGGCTGGCTGTGACACTCCTTTGTCCCACAGGTGACGGGCAAGTTCCGCGGGGGCGTCAACCCCTTCACCAACGGTTGCTGTAAGAACGTCAGCCGGGTCCTCTGCAGCTCCCCAGCGCCCAGGTGAGCCTGGCCTCTGCATCCCTGGGAAAACTGCCCCATCCCAGGCTCCAGGCCATGACCTTCCTCCCCCCTCCCCAGGTACCTCGGGCGCCCGAAGGCCGAGCAGACGGTGCTGGTGAGACCCCCGTTCCTGCGGCCCGAGGTGTCGGACGGTCAGATCACTGTCAAGATCATGGACAATGGTATCCAGACAGAGCTGAAAAGGACGAAGGTGAGGAAGGTGGGGACCAGCGCTGTCTGCGCTGGGGCCCTCCACGGATCCCAGGGGTGCAAGCCTGCATCCGTGAGTAGAGAACCGAGAGAGCCTGGTCACGTTCCCTGTCCTAGTCCGTGTCGTCTTGTTCTATGTCCCCATGGGTTGGAAACTGTCCCCCTCCCATGTGGCAGTGACCACATGAGGCCTAGCCCCCTCCATTGCCCTTACTGCTCCCATCCTTCCCCACCCTCTGGAGGTTCCTTCTCCTTGGCACTTCCAGCACCCACCCGGGGCATGCGCTGCCCCCTGTTCTGTCAGATGCCCGGGAGGCAGCGGAAGCCCCCAGCGCCGCTGTCCATGCCCTGCCAGCCCGGGGGGGCCGAGGCCCTGGCCCCTCCTGACCCTGCCTGCGCTTTGTCTCTGCAGTCCAAGGGGAGCCTGGAGGTGACGGAGAGCCAGTCTGCTGACGCCGAGCCGCCACCCCCACCTAAGCCCGACCTCAGCCGCTACACGGGCCTGAGGACACACTTAACCCTGGCCACCACTGAGGGTAAGGAGGGCACCAGGGCCCTGGCAGCCGCTGGGAGGGGAGCCCAGGGCTGCACCAGGCAGGCCAAGGAGCCAGGGCCGTAGGGCAGACCTGGAGCACGTCAGCATTCCTGGGCTGGTGTATGTGGCCCGTTGCACTTGGAGAAGCCTGCGGGGGATGCTCAGAGCCAGCGTGGCGCTGTCTGGAGCCACCAGGAGCTGTGCCTTGCAGCCGCCGCGCTGCCAGGACGGAGGAGGCGAAGTGGTGGCGGGCCTGGCTCAGCGGCACAGAGCGTCTGTGGCCGGCTCCGTGTGGGCCTGGCCAGAGGTGGGATGCGATGGGCAGAGCCTGTGGCAGCTGCTTTCTGCAGCAGCTGGAGACCCCACAGCTCTCCCGGCCCTGCCTGGGTCTGCTGCCCGCTGAGGGCTGTGCTGTGTGTGCTTCCCATGGAGCTCCCTGACACCCCCGTGCCGTGCACCCCCAGGGTGTCACCCAGCCGGGGCTGCCGCAGGGGCACGGAAGTGCCAGCCCCACACACGTGGCTGTGGGGACATCCCTTTCTCCCGGTCTGTCTCTCCCACCCCGGTGCACCTCCCCTGCAGCCCGTTCCTGTCCCTGGTCTGTCCGCCCCAGGCTCGCAGTCGGTTCTGAGGCAGGGAGGGCGGGGCTCGGCGTGTTCCCTGCCCGCAGCCGCCCTGAGCGTGCCCCTCTCTCCCGGTGCAGACAGCAGCTTGCTAGGCAAGGACAGCCCCCCGACTCCCACCATGTACAAGTACCGGCCCGGTTACAGCAGCAGCAGCAGCTCGGCAGCCCTGCCCCACTCCACCAGTGCCAAGGTAAGGCCGAGCCTCGTGTGGCACGGGGGATGCCACCCCATTCGTGGTGTGGGAAGGGTTTAGGGCGTGCATTGGGAGCTCCACGGGGGCCCCATGGTCATTCTGTGGGTAACTGCTGCCCCTCTGCCCCTCAGCTGAGCCGAGTGAACAGCCTGAAGGAGCCCAACTCCATCTGTGACAGCGGCCACAAGCCCAGCTACCGCTCGGAGCCGAGCCTGGAACCCGAGAGCTTCCGCTCTCCCACCTTTGGCAAGAGCTTCCACTTTGACCCTCTCTCCAGTGGCTCCCGCTCCTCCAGCCTCAAGTCGGCCCAGGGCACGGGCTTTGAGACGGGCCACCTGCAGTCCATCCGCTCGGAGGGCACCACCTCCACCTCCTACAAGAGCCTGGTGAACCAGACGCGCAACGGCAGCCTCTCGTACGACAGCCTGCTCACGCCCTCCGACAGCCCCGACTTCGAGTCGGTGCAGGCGGGCCCGGAGCCCGAGCCGCCCGTGGGCTACACCTCGCCCTTCCTGTCGGCGCGCATCGCCCAGCAGCGAGAGACCGACCTGCACGGCCGCTTCGCCAGCGCCGCCTCCCCCAAGCACGCGGTGCCCCGCGAGCCGTCGCCCGTGCGCTATGACAATCTCTCCCGCCACATCGTGGCCTCCATCCAGGAGCGGGAGAAGCTGCTGCAGCAGCCGCCGGCCCCGGGCCGGGAGGAGGCCGCGGGGCTGGCGGACTCGGGCATCCAGTCGACGCCGGGCTCCAGCAACGCCCCCCGCACCAGCTCCTCCTCGGACGATTCGAAGCGCTCGCCCCTGGGCAAGAACCCGCTCACCCGCCCGGCCCTGCCCCGCTTCGGCAAGCCCGAGCCCCCCCCGGCGCTGCGGGTGCGCTCGCTGGGCTCCCCCGAGCAGCCCGCCGCCCCCCACCTGGGCAAATCCGTGTCTTACAGCAGCCAAAAAACAGCGTCGCAGGCCGGCGGCCCCGAGACCGAGGAGGTGGCCTTGCAGCCCTTACTGGCACCAAAGTGAGTACTGTGATGGCACAGGGGCGTCTGTGGGGGGGACCCTTGCCCAGTGTCCCTCCAAGCCCCTGGGGCAGCACAACACCCCTCCCTGGGGAGAGATGCTGGGAAGAGCAAGAGAAATCTTCCTGCTCTCCCAGAATAGAGCTGGTGCCCCCCGCACCTCCTCAGTCACGCCACGGGCCCCTCAGAATCTGGAGTAGGTGCTGGTTGTCCCTGGGGTGGGCAGGGCTCTGGCAACGCTGGGTGCCAGCAACCTGTTCCCTCTCCTGACCCCGCGTCCGTGCTTCCTTCCCGCAGGGACGAGGTGCAGATGAGAACAGCCTACAGCAAGTCCAACGGGCAGCCCAAGAGCCTGGGCTCGGCCCCACCGGGCTCGGGGCCGGTGCCCCTCAGCAGCCCCACCCGCGGCGGTGTCAAGAAGGTCTCGGGCGTGGGGGGCACCACCTACGAGATCTCGGTATGAGGGGCAGAGCCGCCGCCCCTCCCCTGCTCCCCAGCGGCCCCAGGGACCCGCCGTGCCCAGACGCTTGTGGACTCCCGGGAGAGCCGGGCGGGTCCCCCCGCTCCTCCCTGTGCGCCACGGGGGCCGCACACACCCGCGGGGGGCTCGGGGAGGGCTCGGGGCATGGGGGGGGCCGCAGCCCCGGCACCGCCTCGGCTGCGCCAGCCACTTGTGGGCCTTGTGCAATCACCCGCTCGCCTGGCGTGGTAGGAACGGATTGTTTTTAAACCAGAATACTTTTTTTTATTATTATTGTTACGGATTCTATTTTTTTTCTCTTTCCGAGTTACCAGGTGTGTGTATATATAAATATCTATATATATAAATATAAATATTAAAAAAAAAAAAGAAGCAGAAATTATATATCTTACCCAGAGAGAGGAAGAAACTACCCTGCTCAGGGCCTGGGCCCCCCACCCCACCTTGTCCCTGTCCCCAAAGGAGGGACGTGGGGCTGCCTCCTGCACCCACGGAAGGAGCTGTGGTAGGTGCTGGGTGTCACTGTTCCCTCCCTGAAGGGGCCAGGGAGTGCGAGGCACCCACCCTTGGACACTCCCCTCCCTGATCCGTGGTGTCTGCAGCCTCCAGCCCCCTTGGGGGGCCCACGGTGGGGGCAGCACCCCCAGCCTGAGCTGGCACAAAGGCCCCAGCGTCCCCCACCCGCAGTTTTTGCTCTTTGTTCTCTTTGCCCAGGGGCTGTGATCGGGGGGTTGTTGGTTTCGTTGCCTTTTTTCATTTCTGTTAATGATTCCGAGGAGGTTTCTCGCTGTCGCAGGGGTTGTTTTTATTTCCGCTCGCTCGGGGGAGAGGCAGGTGCATCCCCGGAAAGCAATATTTTCTCATCACATGCCAAAAAAACGCAGCCAAGGAGCCCCGTGCTCCCTGTCCCCAAAGCCCTGCCGGCACTACCGGACTCTTTCTCTACGGCAATAGCTCCCGTGGCCCCGCACAGCCACGCCAGGGTTTTTTATTATTATCAGCCATTTTAAAAACAAGGAATAAAAGGATATTTAATGAGCCACCCCGGGGCCGTGCGTGTGCTTTGTTTGGTGTCCAGGGATGGAGCAGCCCCTCCAGGGCTCCTGATCCTCAGGGTCTCGGCCTTCCCCCCCATCCCGAGGGAGAGAGAGAAGGGCGTCTGGTAAGAGCTGAGCCTGGCTCACTTTTGGGGAGGCTCCGACTTGAGGCAAACTCTGCTACCAGAGAAGGTAAGGATTTTCCAGGCATGGGAAAAGAGGCTCCAGGGGAGGTGTCCTGGGTGCTGGTGAGGTTTGGGATCCAAAGGAGGGCACCCTGCACACTCCAGGGACACTTTGGTTCGGGCTCCACCGTGACAGCCGAGGGTCACAGCAGCCACGGCCACCAGCCCCTCCTCAGAGCAGACTTTGAAAGGTGACTAAAAAAGAGGCTTTGATGCTCCAGGTTCTTCAGGTACAAAAGCCCGAGGTCAGCACCCACAGAGTCCGTGCCCCTGGTCCTGGGGGGCTGCAGGGGTGTCCTCTTAGCTGGGGGGACAGGCCAGCCCCAGTGTCCCTGGGGTCAGCCGGGGCTGTTCCCATGGGCCGGGGGATCCCCAGGGCGTCGCCGGCGTGGCCTCACCGTAAGCTGCTGCTGGCCTGGGAGCTGCCCACCCCCGGGTGCTCCGGGCTGTGCCGGTTCTGCGGAGGAAGGACAGACAGAGCCTGTGAGAGCTGCTGGCCAGCAGCCCCTTGGGGACGGCCACTCACAGAGCCCCTCGGAGGTCCAGGGGCTGGGCACCGCACCCCAGCCTTGACACTCACCTTCTTTTTCTTCTTCTCTTTCTTCTTCCTCTTCCGCTCTGGATCCTCCTCTTTTTTCTTCTTTTTCTTCTTGTGGTCGGAGTCCGAGGGGGTTTCTGGAGAAGCAGAAGCGCCGGATGAGCCGATGCTCTGCCGGTGCTGAAGGGGAGCAGGGGGGCGGCTGTGGCAGCCTTACCTGGGGGGACGGGGTCCTGCGTGCGGCTCTGTTTGTGCTTGTGCTTGTTCTTCTTCTTAGGCGGCTGGATGTGCATCAGCCGGCACTGCTCGGGCAGCTGCGGAGAAAAGGGGCTGGTCAGGCCACACCGGGTACCTCCCACCCCCCCGGGTGCCTCCCACCCCCGCGGCTCCAGGCCCCGGGGCTCACCGGGCCGGCGTGCAGGCGGAAGCCGGTCAGCATAGCCCCCGTGAGCGGGGTGAAGGAGCTGCCACAGATGGGCGGCTTCTCGATGAGCGAGCGCAGGCTGCTACTGTCGTGGGAGCCGGGCAGGTCGATCATGCCGGGCAGGTCGGGGAGGAAGTTGCTGAGCTTCTCCTTCACCTTCTTCCCGCAGAACTTGTTGTAGGCGTGCTCCAGGTTGTAGTGTGTGATCAGGTTGGTGCTGCCCGTCAGCTCCGTCGTGCCTGTGCGGCCGCGGGAAGAGTTGGGAAGGGGGAAACGCCCCGACGACACTCCTGGCCCCTCTGCCCGGCTGAGCCTGGGCTCCGGGACCCCCTGCACCCCCCGAGCACCGCGATCCCGGTCCCGGGGTCCCCCCCGCCGCCCACTTCCCCACCGGACCGCGCGTTGCGTGACCCCGCCCCCGCAGCCTCATTGGCTCCTGGCGCTGTCAGTTCCCTCCACGGCCGCGATTCTCCGCGCTGATTGGCCGAGCGCGGCACCCGCCCCGCCCCGCGGCCCGCCCGCACCTGGCAGCTCCCGCAGCAGGTAGAAGGGGCCGGCGGCGGCCTTGCGGGCCGCGTCCTCGCCCGGCGGCGGCGCGGCGGCTGAGGCAGCGGGCTGCGGTGCGGCTCCGGCGCCGGGAGCCTTGGCGGGCCCGAATCCGAGCGCGGCGGCGGCGGCGGCGGGCGGCGGCTCCGCCGCGCCGAACAGCGCCGAGAAGTTCTCCATATTCCCGGCGTGCCCCGCGCGGGGCAGCCCCGCCCCGCCATTGGCCGAGCACCGCCCCTACACCGGCCTGCCTCCCGTTGCTATGGGAGACTCGTCCCAGCCTTCTGATTGGTCGCTGCTCTCTCTCCTCTCATTGGCCTGAGCCGCACAGGAGTGGCTGCCTCGCAGCTCCCCATTGGCCGGCGCGGGGAGGCCCCGCCCCCGGCAGTGAGCGGGGCGGAGGGAAGATGGCGGTGGTGGCGCCACTGCTGGCGCTGCTGTGGGGGCTGCCCGGGCTCTGCCGATGGCTCGCCCAGCCCTACTACCCGCTCTCCGCGCTGCTCGCCGCCGCTTTCCTGCTCGTGCGCAAGGTCCCGCCGCTCTGCCGTGGGCTGCCCTCGCAGCGGGAGGATGGTAACCCGTGTGACTTTGACTGGGTGAGGCGGCGCGGCCTGTCCTCGGGCCTGTCCCCGCATCCCTGGGCTCTCCCCGGACCTGTCCCTACACCCTCACCCCTGTCTTGGCTCCCCTCCTGCTCTCACAGCATTCCGGCCTTGGTGAGGGAGGAGATGCCCGGTAGCCCCTGGCGTTGCTCTGCGGTGTTCCCCTGCAGCCGAGAGCCTCCAGGCACTGGTCGATGCCATTGCCGCAGGGCAGCCCGTCTGCTCGCTGGTCTCCCCCGGGAGGGATGGGGGCTCTGGGCTCAGGCAGGGCCTTGGGGCCAGTAGGGCCTGGCATGGTCACAGTTCCCTGCGTGATGCCAGGCCAGGCATGGCTCCAGGGTGTCCTGGGCGCTTCCAGCTCATGCTGTCCCTTCTCTGTGCCAGAGGGAGGTGGAGATCCTCATGTTTCTCAGCGCCATTGTCATGATGAAGAACCGGCGCTCCAGTGAGTCAGGGGACTTGGGGGGCTGGGGCTGCTTGTGGGGTCTCCTCCAAGGAGATGAGTGGGGGTGTGTCTGGAGGACAAGATCCAGCCCTCCCTGAAGTTACCCCCAACCTTCTGGGGGCATCTGGTACCATCCCTTATTCCTGTCTCCACATCACAGTCACCGTGGAGCAGCACATCGGGAACATCTTCATGTTCAGCAAAGTGGCCAACGCCATCCTGTTCTTCCGCCTCGACATCCGCATGGGGCTGCTCTACCTCACGCTCTGCATAGGTGAGCCTGCACGTCTTCCTGCCTTGTCCTGGCTCCCCCTCGTTGCTCTGGGCTGGAGGAGCTCTGTCCCAGGCCCAGCCTGGCCCTCCTGGCACTGGGGGCTCAGGAATGACTGCTGTCATTCCAGTGTTCCTGATGACCTGCAAGCCACCCCTTTACATGGGCCCTGAGTACATCAAGTACTTCAGTGACAAGACCATCGATGTGAGTATCTCCCCAGCCCTGGGGCTTTTGGGGGGCTCTGCCCACCCCCACTAAGCCCATGCCCCCTGTGGCAGGAGGAGCTGGAGAAGGACAAGCGGGTGACGTGGATCGTTGAGTTCTTTGCCAACTGGTCCAGTGAGTGCCAGTCCTTTGCCCCCATCTTCGCTGACCTCTCTCTCAAGTGAGTGGCACCCCCTGGAATCTTGGTGGGTAACGGGGCCTGTGGTCCCCTGCATCCCTCACAGCCATGTGTCCCCATCCTGCCCAGGTACAACTGCTCAGGACTCCAGTTTGGGAAGGTGGATGTTGGCCGGTACACGGACGTCAGCACCAGGTGTGGGGAGTGCAGCCTGGGCAAGCAGGGCTCGCTCTGGGGCAGTCCCTGTGACCCCCCAGCCCCCTCAGGCTGCCCGAGGGTCACTGTGGCCTTGTCCTCACACAGGTACAAGGTCAGCACCTCGCCTCTCACCAAGCAGCTGCCCACCCTCATCCTCTTCCAGGGTGGGACAGAGATCATGCGGCGGCCGCAGATCGACAAGAAGGGCCGGGCTGTGTCCTGGACCTTCTCTGAGGTGCGTGGGAACCTCCAGCCCTCTGCTCCCCTGCCCAGCCTGTGCCTGGGAAGAAGGGGGAGGTCCCAGGGGTGCTGATGCTGCCTCTTGGCCACAGGAGAATGTGATCCGGGAGTTCAACCTCAACGAGCTCTACCAGAAGGCCAAGAAGCAGCAGAAGCCGCGGGAGGAGGGGCCTGAGGAGCCCCCAGCCGTGCCGGCGGCTGCGCCTCAGGAGACCAAGAAGGACAAGTAGAAGCTGCCCTGTACTGTCGCCCTTCACTGTGTCACCATCAGCCTGGTGGCAGCGGCCCCGCGGGCCTGCCCAGCCCTGCCCGGAGCCGCTCTCCGAGGGAACTTGTCCCGGCTGAGCCCCGGGAACGCAGCGGTGCCCCCCGGCCCCGTGCGGGCAGGGCGGTAGGAGGGGCCCCGCCTCGGTTAACGCTCGCTCTCATCCATCGCTGACAATAAACGGTCCGTGCCGTGCCTGTGTCCCGTGTCCGTGTCCGTGTCGCCGGTCCCGGGCCGCGTATGGGGGCGGGGCCCTGCGGAGCCCGCGCGCTCTGATTGGCTGGGGCGGCGCGGGCGGAACCGGAGCCCACCGGGGGGCTCCGGGGCGCTTTCCGGCCCCGCCCCTTCCGGCCCCGCCTCCCCCGGCGGCGCGCGCTCCTGGCACGTGCCAGCGGCAGGTAGGAGGCGGCGCGGCCGCCCCAGCCCCGCTTCTGTTCCCCCCCCCCATCCCGCCCCCTTCCCCGGGGACCGGCGGCTGTCCCCCCCTTTCCTCGGGGCCCGGCGGCTGTCCCCCCTCCTTCCCCGGGGCCCGGCGGCTGTCCTCCACCCCTTCCCCGGGGCCCCGCTTCCCCACTCTCCCCAGCCGCACGCCGCGCCGCCAGCCCTGCGCAGCCGCTTCCCGCTCTCCCCAGCAGGATCCCGGCGGGTCCCCCATTGCCCCCAGTGGAGCACGGCCGGGGACTGGCCCTCTCCCACAGCAGTGTCCCCACAGGGACCCAGCTTTCACTCCCCTGACAGCGGGGTACATGAGATCTCTTCCCACCCCAGAGCGGCGTTCCTGGAGCCCCCTTCCTGCTCCGGCGTAGGCTCCACCGCCTCGGCTCTCCCAGGATGGCTCCCCGCGGGAGGAAGCGCGGAGCCCGGCAGCCAGCGGCGGCCGAGGCACCGGAGACGGCGGGAGCCCCGCAGAAGCGCGCGCGGGCCCAGGCCCAAGATGAGGGCAGCCCCGGGGACACCGGCCCCCGTGTGGTCATCGAGCACTGGTGAGCGGCCGCGGTGCCGAGGGTGGTGCGGGCCCTGGGGTGCCCGCGGGTCGCTGAGCGCCGTGTCCCCGCAGCAAGAGCTGACGCGTGTTCGGGCGGAACGCGGCCGCGGTGAGCGCCGCCCTGCGCGGGGCCATGGCCCAGCTGCCCGTGGACATCAACCCCCGGCCGCCGCGCAGGAACAGCTTCGAGGTGTCCCTGGTGAAGGAGGACGGCAGCAGTAAGTGCTGGGCTGGGGGCGGCGGGGCCTCCCTGGCACCCCTGATCCCATAAATCTCCTTTGTCTCTGCAGCCGTGGAGCTGTGGAGCGGTATCGGGAAGGGGCCCCCCCGCAAGCTGAAGTTTCCCCAGCCAGAGACCGTGGTGGAAGCCCTGAAGAGCAACATTGCATAGAGACATTGGCCAGGTGGGCGGGGATAGGATTGGGACTGGGATGGGGTTGGGATGGGACAGCAGGGACCAACTTCCTTCTCTCCACAGCCGAGCCAGGACCAGTGCAGGCGGCATGAGCATCCATGAAGAGGCGAGACCAAGTGGGGGGCGCCTGCCAGCCCCAGTCCCGTCCCTGATGCTGCAGCTCTGCCACTGCCAGACCCCCGGCTCCCTCCACACCCCGTTGTCCCCCCAATCTTCAATAAAGTTCAGTACTCCAAAGCATAGCTCCAACACTTTATTCCAAGGACATACAGCCCAAGGGGTGCAGGCACTGGTGGGTGGTGGGAGAGGCAGTGCCACCCCCCTAGGTGAGTATATCCACCTCCTCTTCTGACTCAGATGAGGGACTGGGCCAAAGGCAGACTGTGCCAGGGGGCAGGAACAGCTCCCCTGTCCCCACATCCACCTCCTCCTCCTCCTTGCCGTCACTTCCTGGGGTCCCTGGGGGTGCTGCCTGCTGGCAGCCCTGTGGGGACACAGGGGAGTCCCCACGCTGCTGCGTCCCGTTTGCACTGGGGGGCTGCCGGGGTGGGGAGCACTCGCTCACCTGCTCCCGTGCATCCTCATCCTGGGGGGGCTGTGCTTCTGTCGCCCCCACATCCCCCGCCAGCACTGGTGGAGGCACAGGGGGGGGCTGCGCCTCCCGCACCACCTCCCAGCACCCCCAGCGCTCCACCTTCCGCAGCCTCATCCGCCCGATGGGGCTGGGCTGTGAGGGCTCCACAGACTGTGGCTGCCTCTGGGGGGACACCCCAGAGCTGGCACTGCCAGGCTCAGCTGTGTTAGGTGCCACCACGGGGGAGACTTCCTGAGTGGAGTGCAGGCAGGAGCGGTCGAGCTGCCGCTGGGGTCCCAGCCTCACCAGGCGTCCTCCCCAGAGCTGCAGTGACTCGAGCTCGGTGACACGGAGGCGGCGGGCGGCCGCCAGCACCTCGTGCACCTCCTCCTGCGTGACCTCCAGCTCGGCAGTGTAGAAGAAGCGCACCAGCTTGCGCAGCACCCCGATCTTCAGCCCCGCCAGCTCCAGCACCACCCTGCAACCCTGGGGGGGCAGCTCCCGGCCCAGTTGCTCCATGAAGAAGGGGCTGCAGACGGAGAGAACACTGCAGTGGGCCACCACTGCCTCGCCTGCAAAGCAACAGTGGCTGTTACTGCCCTGCAGCCCTTCCTGCTCACGCCAGTGTTTCCTAGGGGGGTTGCAGAGACCCTGCCCGCAGTTCCCTCGGCGGTGCTGCCCGCTCACCTTCAGCCCACAGGACCACATCGCAGAAGACGTCGGCTCGCTGCTGCTGCTGGTGGAGGTGCTGGAAGGCGGTGCGCAGCAGGCGGGTGCTGCGGTACAGCAGCTGCGGCGAGGCTGTGGGAGACCCCATGGCCGTCCTGCAGGGACACACA